AACAACATAATACGATCAGTGTTGAGGAGGGGTCAGAGCAGACTCCTGAGAGGGCCATTTTCTGTGTGTGATTTTCAGAAAGTACATTGATCTCATCCATTGGAAATTTTGGCCCCATTAGCATCCCGTATTAGTATTTCCTCACCCTTACTCTTCCCTTCAATTTCACTTCTCAGAAAGTGGAATCTGAGAATTTGTTGCTTCGTCTCCAAACAGTTCAGATTTGCCCTTAAGAGTCAAGCACCATGATTATCTGTGGCACATATTGCTTCAACTGGAGAAATTATACTTTTGATAAGAATAGGCAAAATAATATTATATTCCTATATTCATCTCCTGATTCAAAACTGACTTGGAAATCATAGTGGATGGTGTATTAGGCTGTTCTTGCATTGCTATAAATGCATACCCAAGGCTGGTCAGTTTCTAAGAAAAGAGGCTTAATTGGCTCATGGTTCTGGAGGCTGCACAAGCAATGGCATTCGCATCTGCTTGGCTTCTGAGGAGGCCTCAGGGGGCTTATAATCATGGCAGAAGGTGAAGTGAAAGCAGGAGCAAGAGAGAGTGGGGTGGTGGGGAAGGGATCACACACTCTTAAATGACCAGATGCCCTGTGAACTTAGAGCGAGAGTTCACTTATCACCAAGGGGATGGCCCAAGCCATTCATGAAAGATCCTCCTCCGTAATCCAAACACCCTCCACCAGGCCCCACCTCCAGCATTGAGGTTACTTTTCAGTATGAGATTTGGGTGGGGACAAATATCCAAACTGTATCAGATGGTGTATTAAAACATTTTCACGCTGATGAGAAAGACATACCCAAAACTGGGAAGAAAAAGAGGTTTAATTGGACTTACAGTTCCCCCTGGCTGGGGAGGCCTCAGAATCTGGTGGAGGCAAAAGGCACTTCTTACACGGCAGCAGCAAAAGAAAATGAGGAAGGAGCAAAAGCAGAAACCCTTGATAAACCCATCAGATCTCGTGAGGCTTATTCACTATCATGAGAATAGCATGGGAAAGATGGGCCCCCGTGATTCAATTACCTCCCCCTAGGTCCCTCCCACAACATGTGGGAATTCTGGGAGATAAATTCAAGTTGAGACTTGGTGGGGACACAGCTAAACCATATCAGATGGTGAACAGGGAAGTGTTCCAGTGGTATATGGCCATGTTTCTTGCCAAAAGTTCCTGCGTATGATTTTGGTTAATTGCAGTTTCTGGAAGTATCAGCTAATTCTTGGTCTAGAGCCATCTTTCCCTTTCTTAGGGCGAGATAAGAATCCAGGAGCTTTCCTTGGTGTGATACAGGCAGAGGGCACTCTTGTCTTCAGTTCATCTTGGTTGCAGTGGTTACCCTCATTCTCCAAGCCCGTCATGTTCCTTAGGGACAGCAGTTGTGCTGTTTCTGTTTCAAGCCTGGGCATTATGCTCATGTGAAACCTTTTTCCCTTCATTTTTGCTACTTCTCCAGGGCACTTCTAGGAAATGGGGCTTGGTATCTGTTAGTGCTGTAATTTGCCTATCTCTGACCCCTCCAAGCTGAGGGAAGCCTCACCTTTCTCCCTGCCACCTCTACTCCACCCTCTGGTCTCTTACTGAGGGCAGGCCTTCTAGGAAGTTCTTTGACTTTATGCAGTTTCTTATTTCTGCCCTGTAAATGTAAATGTGCCCTGGGATGAATGAACATAAGGGCCTGGCTGTGGGTTTTGAAAATGGAAGTAAAAATACACAAATCAAAATCTTAAAAATTACCTTGCTCCAGAGTTTATTTCAAAAATAGTTTTATTGAAGTACAATTGACATACAACAGACAGCACACATTAAAAATGGACAAGTTGACCAGTTTTGACTTACATATAAACCCGTGAAATCACCACCATAATCAAGACAATGACCACATCCATCACTGCCAAAAGTTGCTTGTGTCCTTTTATCATTCCTCTGGCCACTCCTCCTTCCCCCAGGAAACCACTGATCTTTTTCTGTCACTATAGATTAACTTGTTTTTGTTTTCTAAAGTTACATATAAATGGAAGTATACCGTATGTACTTTTTTGGTCTGACTTTTTTTTACTAAGCATAATTGTTTTGAAATTTAACCATGCTGTTGTAGCATGCATCAATAGTTCATTTTAACACTGAATAGCAAGGCATGGTCTAGGGTGGCACAAGTGAAGTGCCTGGGGTTAAAATGCACTCAGTTCTTTATGATGGTAATCATAATGATGATGACGATGATGATGATGATGATGATTGTAGAAACATTTAAAAAGACCTGCTCTCTTAACAAGTTTTTAAGTGTAACATACAGTACCATTAAGTATAGGCACAATGTCGTACAGTGGATCTCTAGAATGTATTAATCTTGTATAACTGAAATTTATATCCCTTGAATAGGAATCTCCCCATTTCCTTTTCCTCTCATCTCCTGGCAACCATCATTCTACTTTCTGTTTCTATGAGTTAGGCTATTTTTGATACCTTACATATGTGGAATCATGCAGTATTTGTCCTTCTATGGCTGTTTTATTTCACTTAGAATTATGTCTACCAGGTTCAACCGTGTGGTCACAAATGTTAGGATTTCTTTCTTTTTTAAAGCTGAATAATATTCCATTGCATGTGTAACCCACATTTTCTGTATCCACTTATCTGCTGATAGTCATTTGTGTTGTTTGTGTACCTCAGCTTTTGTGAATAGTGCTCCAATGAACATGGAAGGACAGATATCTCTTCAGGATGCTGATTTAGATAATCTTGGGTGTGTACCAGAAGTGGGACTGCTGGAGCATATGGTATTTCTATTTTTAATTTTTTGAGGCACCTCCATACTGTTTTCTATAGTGACTGCATCATTTTACATTCCCACTAACAGTTTATAAGGCTTCCAATTTCTCTACATCCTTAGCAATATCTTTATCTTTCATTTTTGTTGATGAAAGATATCGTTATCTTTCATTTTTGTTGATGACAGTCATCCTGACCTGTATAAGGGGATATCTCATTATGGTTTTAATATGCATTTCCCTATGATTAGTGATGTTGAACACCTTTTCATATAACTTGGCCATTTGTATGTCTTCTTCAAAGAAAAAGACTGTTTCTTTTGCTGTACAGAAGTTTTTGTTGTTGTTTTTCAATTGTAGTCCCACCTGTTTTTGCTTTTCTTGCTTATGTGTTTGGTGTCACATCCAGGAAGTCGCTGCCTACACCAATGTCATTAAGTTTTTCCCCTGTATCTTCTTGCAGGAGTTTTATGGTTTTAGATATCATGTTTAAATCTCTCATCCATTTTGAGTTGATTTTTGGGTACAAAGTATAAGAGTTTAATTTTATTATCTTGCATATGGATATCCAGTTTTCCCAGCACCGTTTATTGATAACTTTTTTGCCCATTGTATATTTTTGACACTCTTTTTGACCTGTGTGGGTGACTTCCAGGCTCTCTATTCTGCTCTATTGATCTATATGTCCGTTTTTTTTCAGGTACCATACTGTTTTAAATAACTTTCTAAAATATTTTGAAATTAGAATGTGTGATACTTCTGATTGTGTTCTTATTTTTCAAGATTACTTAGACTATTTTGAAACTTTTGTGGTACCATATAAATTTTAGGATTTAAAATAATTTCGGTAACAAATGCCATTTGGGATTTTGAAACACAGTCAGTTCTGAATCTGTTTCAACTGTTCTTTTTTTTTCTTTCTCACAATGGGTTTTATTTTTCTGCTTTTTCACATGCCTGATAATTTTTTATAGCATGAGACATACTTACACTTCAAAACTTTTTGTTGCTTATCTGAAATTCAAATTTCACCAAGCATACTGTATTTTATTTGGCAGCCCAGTGTCCGGAGAACTCTAGCTTCCTTTACTTCTCTGGACTCTCATTTTTGTCTCCTCAACTTTGCAAATTCTCCAGACTCTGCCTGAGCTCTCACTCATTGCGCTGTATCCTGGACACACTCTCGTGCCAGTAAGCTGAGGCCACCGTAGGGCTCAACTTTCTTGTTTCCTGACTCTCAGATTGTTGTTCTTTGTTGTCAGATGCTCATTATCTTAAAACATAATTTTTTGTATACTTTGTCCTTTTTGGTTGTTTCACACTGGAGAGTCAATCTGGTCTCTGTTACTCTGTCTTTGGTTGAAAGTAGGAGTCTGTATCCAGAAGTTGCTGTTTTTAGCCAGGAGCTGGAAATGGCTCTAAACAGGGCCCAAGATGTGTGTTTGATCCCTTCATTTGCTTTATAGTTATCATGCAATTAAATACTTAAAAAATAATTCTTTGGGCCAGGCGCAGTGGCTCAAGCCTGTAATCCCAGCACTTTGGGAGGCCAAGGCGGGTGGATCACTAGGTCAAGAGATCAAGACCATCCTGGTCAACATGGTGAAACCCCGTCTCTACTAAAAAAAAATACAAAAATTAGCTGGGCATGGTGGTGCGTACCTGTAATCCCAGCTACTCAGGAGGCTGAGGCAGGAGAATTGCTTGAACCCAGGAGACAGAAGTTGCGGTGAACCAAGATCGCGCCATTGCACTCCAGCTTGGGTAACAAGAGCGAAACTCCGTCTAAAAAAAAAAAAAATTCTTTGGATCATAAGGGTGCCTGGTGATTATGAGGGTTCCTCACTACTGTTGGGAAATTGATTAGAAGTGCACATCTGCTAATAAGGGAATGGGATGGGCCACTGGGGTTATTAACAAGTACAAAGCATAAATTGGTACACTACATTATATTACACAAATTGTCAGAGTTTGAACCAAAACACAGATTTGGCTGGGGGTCAAATCTCAGAGGCCCAAACTGTATTTGGAGTCAAGACCAGGAAGACAAGTCTGACAGAGTCAGGGTGGTCAAACGGGAGCCATAGGGGGATTTAGGAAGATGTTAATTCTCTTATTCCTTGTTCAATATTCAGTGACATTCTTCCTAGGGGACTCTGGAAATAAAAATAAAAGCATGTCCTCTCTCTTCTCTTTGGTTTCTCTTGGTCTAGCTGTATGCCGCTATCCTCTGGGCATGTCGGGAGGCCAGATTCCAGATGAGGACATCACAGCTTCCAGTCAGTGGTCAGAGTCCACAGCTGCCAAGTATGGAAGGTGAGGATGGCTACTTCAAGACAGCCCATGTTCTGGGGTTGGACAGATTTCCTGGGCACAGATACCTGACCCAAGGGGCTGGGGAAGGGAAGGTGGTGTCATTGGCAAGAGCTGTTGAGAATGAAGGATGGACAGCAAGTGATCCTGCTCTCTCTCTTTTCGGGGAGAGAATTCAGGACTTAGCTACATGTACTGTCTGGCAGCCCCGTCTCAACCACAGAAGCCCCAGGGCCATATCAACCACAATGAATGGGTTCATTGATAGGAAATGGACTTGCTTTCCCTGACTTTCTCACTATGAGCTGCTGCAGGATGCAGGCAATGGTGGCAGCTATGGGAGGGTGCAGATTATGTAGGACACTGGGAGTTAGCGTCCACTCGTCTTCTCAGGGGGTCTATGAAACATCACTCACTGCAAAGCATCAAGGGCTTAACTAGACATGGAGGCCTCCAACAAGTTCTCTCCCTCTCTCAAGGATCTCTCACATGGAAGGGTCATCTTTACCCACAGACAGAGTGTGGCAGTTTCCTGGGGTGATTGATTCAGGGGTCTTCTACATCAGTAAACTCCGTACTGCTCTACTGGTTGGACCCAACACTCTTTCTGGAATCTAATTATTTTGGTGTGAAGTATTGATTTTATTAAAATGGAACTACCCATAAGAAAAGCAATCCTGATGAAACTTCCCCATAATTTCTTAGTGTGTGACAGACTAGAGTGATGGTTGATGGAATTGAAAGGGAGTGACAAATGAATGGGTGATACTTGTGGGAAAAAGGAACATTCTAGGGGAGGGAAAGTGGTAGGAGGTTCTCAAAATAAACTTGATAATAATTTCACAATTTTGCTTAGTGGTAACTCAGGCTGGAGGTAATAAAATGAAACCAGATTATTTACTGCTTCCTTGACATGCTCTTCCCCTTCATGCTCCCCTTGCATTTCTACGGCTCCTTGCTGGTCTGCAATGCCCATCCTGCTGCATTGCATAACCCACACTGGAGACCCTACTATCCCTCCTCCCTACTGCCATAACTTGATGTCCAAGCAAAGGGTGGCTAGCTTTGTCAGACTGAGTTTGAATGTGGGAAGGGAGATATGAAATAACTTATGGGGGAACAGAAGGTAGGAAGAGTTTTATTTCTCTTTAGACCTCTAAATCAGGACGGAGAATGAAGGCGACATGTGATCTGAAGGCCTCCAGCTCTCTGGTGGGGACTGTCTCTCAGGGTTTCTTGGTACTCCAAGGAAAGGGATCTGACCACAAACGGGTACTGTGATGGCAGTGAAAACTGTGGCGATAACCCGAAAAGTTTATAAGAACTGGGCAGTCTGCTCTCTCTCCTCAGTACAGGGCAGCTGCTTGCCTGTGAACCAGTAAACAGCTCTGTGGTTTCATGGTTGCTCCCTCTCTCCCCAACCCTCACCTTTCAAGGCTGGACTCAGAAGAAGGGGATGGAGCCTGGTGCCCTGAGATTCCAGTGGAACCTGATGACCTGAAGGAGTTTCTACAGATTGACTTACATACCCTCCATTTTATCACTCTGGTGGGGACCCAGGGGCGCCATGCAGGGGGTCACGGCATTGAGTTTGCCCCCATGTACAAGATCAACTACAGTCGGGATGGCACTCGCTGGATCTCTTGGCGGAACCGTCATGGGAAACAGGTAGAAGTAGAGACATCCAGACCCTGGGATGTCCAAGACCATGTTTTGACTTAGGCTAGGAGAAGAAGGGTATGGGTTGTCTGTGTGGGTATGTGTGTCCACAGACCAGGCATGCCCTTGTAAATGTGTGACCCAGGGTGAGGGATGTAGGGAAGGAATATCAAGGCCATGGGGAAAGTGGAGTAAATGTATTCTGTTCCTTGAATTAAGAAGAAAAAGCCCATCGAAAGGGTGGTGGGGGGGTGAAGAAAAGTGAACATAATTTAATACCACCTCATTACTCATTCTCTTCTCTCTCCTCAGGTGCTGGATGGAAATAGTAACCCCTATGACATTTTCCTAAAGGACTTGGAGCCGCCTATTGTGGCCAGATTTGTCCGGTTCATTCCAGTCACTGACCACTCCATGAATGTGTGCATGAGGGTGGAGCTTTATGGCTGTGTGTGGCTAGGTAGGTCACTCGCCCAGGAAACCTACAGACCTTATTAAAGACTCCGACAAAGGGATCAGTTACTCCTGAAATGGTGATTGCCTCTTGGGAAGAGTAGAGACAGACAGAAGCATTGCTCATTATCCCAGTGCTTGGTAACCCACACCCAGTAATGCATTCAGAGTCATTATACTGACTGCCACTGAGGGGTGCTGCTCTGCAGTGCTCCCTGGGTGCCCAGATGGGGTCCTGCTGGACCTGCTGTGTGAGCTTGTACCCTTGAAACTCACCTAGTTTCCTAAGGTAATGGGCCTGGGTAGTAGGCACTCACTTGGCTGTGTTTCCTTTGCAGATGGCTTGGTGTCATACAATGCTCCAGCTGGGCAGCAGTTTGTACTCCCTGGGGGCTCCATCATTTATCTGAATGATTCTGTCTATGATGGAGCTGTTGGGTACAGGTAAATCCTGGAAAACTTTGATAATCAGAATGGGAAACTGGCCACTAGGAGAGCATAATATTTTATCATGTCTTGGGATCAATAATCAATCAACCAATCAGTATTTATTTAGTTCCTGTACAAGGCATTTGGAGATAATTTAGATGAAGGAATACACACGACCTTTATTTCCAGGGAACTTAAAGCCTAGTTTGGGAAGACAAGTTAATTACCCAGAAAACAATCAATTACACAAAGCAAGGGCTAGAGTTTGTGATATGGCTCTAAGTATAATAGCCATATTTTTGACCCTCAAAACAGGACATGTGGTTTGACACAAATATTGGACTACTTATTGAAACAAAGGTCCAGAGAACTGAAGTAGTGATACTCTGGGCAGGTCAAAAAATCAGAAAGAATAGACCTTGTAAATATAAATGCTTTGAAAATTGTAAAAAGGGGACTAGTAAGGCTTACAATAGACAAAGCTTGTAGGGCAAGATGAGAATTGTAGCAGAGGAAGGAAGGTAGAAGGTAGCAGAAGAAAGGAAGCAGGGCTGAAGGCAAGACTGGCCTGACTATAGTAGATACTGGAGCTGAGAAGAACAGAATGGAACAATGGGTAAGCCTGAAGTGGATCAATGGAGGGCCATGGCGAAGAAGTGTAAACAGATAGAGTTGGAACTTAGGGTTGGATAAGGGATGCTCCCACTTACCCCATTTCACTTTAAGACTTAAAGCCTTGCCGTTCTTCTATCCCATGCTAACACTTTTCTAAGCTTGGTCCGTATCTGCAAAGTGAGCCTGGGAGAAAAGTCAGACCACAGTGAAGACCAGATCAGATGATGGAGGTTGACAGGAGTCAAGAGGAGATACTAGTGAGGCTCAGGAAGGGAGTGTGGAATTATAGCCTTCCATTGGCTTAGGTGTGGAGAATGAACTATTGCCCTCTAGCTGCCATCCCCTGGGTGAAGGCCTGATTCATCCACTCTTCTACTCCTAGTCACTTCCTTTCCATCTTCTTAGTCACTGTTCTTTCCTGTTTGTTTAAATTGTCTTGGCATAATTTCACTCAGTCACACCCCAACAGGCATGTATTCAAGGCATAGAGGAAATCAGAGATCAATCAAATTCAGTTTAATTTAATAAACCTTTGTTAATCAACTGTTACTAAATACAAGGAGTTTGGCCAGGCATGTTAGGTATTCAAAGGTAATGAAGTCATCGATACTACCTTTAAAGAGCTCACAATTTGGAGTAAGGGCTAAAACAGAAATAAATTACTATGATTCAAGTATATGAGCAAGAGATAGCCTATGATTGCTTTGAGATTCAAAGGAAAAAGTAAACTGTAGTAGGAAAGCACACAAATGGGGATGAAAACATCTGGATTTTATATAATAAAAGTTACTTCTGTTTGCTGGGATGACAATGTGTATGAAAAGCATTTCATAAGATAAATTAATGTACATATGTAAGTTGTTATCTGATTAACGTTTTTCTGACCAAAGGAGCAGTAAAGATATGGTAGAACAGATAAATCTGAATTGGGTCCCAAAGAATGGGTAGAATTTTCACAGGTACAGAATCTTGAAATGGAATTTTAGGCAGAGGGAATAGCATGAGGTAAAAAGAATCATGGTTATAAAGTTTAGGGGACTATCTGGGAGAAATCAATGGTTTATTTAACGATAGACCATATGTATGTGGCAAAGCCAAAAGGAGCAAGAAGAGGAGGAACAGGAAGAGGAGAAGATGCTATTCTTGTTCTTTATAAACATGATCATTAACGTAATGAGTCATTGAAGATTTTTAAAGCTGGGGAAGGACATGATTTGGAGCTGTGCTTTAGACAGATTAATCAAACAGCATGCAAAGGTTAGATTTGAATGGAATGAGGAGGTGATGAGGAACATTTTAAAACTCCGAGTTCTGTCAAGTAAAAAGAATTAATGACCAAGGCCATAACTGTGGCTGTGGGAAATGAGGAAAAGCTACTCATTTGGGGAACATTTGCAATCTGATTGGATGTATGGGGCATGCAGTAAGGTGTGAAAAAGAGTTAGATGAAGCCTGACAGTCTAAGTGACTGAAACAATGGGGCTGACGTTTATTCATTCAACGAATATATTTTGAGTGCTTAGTATGCACCAAGCACTTTCAGTTACTATGAAAGAGAAGTATAATTTATAGAAAAGGGAAACCAACGTGAAAGATTTAGTTAATAGGGGATGATGATGGATTTAGTCTGGGGTGTAAGTCTGTGAGACTGACAAGACTTTCAGTAGAGAAATAAGGAAGGTAGCTGGAATTGCAGCTTTGAACTCCAGGGGAAAGATTTTTAAAAATTACAAAAATTTAGATATAATTGGCTTTCATTTAATAATTGAGATAATAAAATGTCTGGTGGAGGTGGCTGAGTGTAGAGATCCTCTCAGCCACTGTGAGATGACATTCATCAGAGTCTCAGGAAATAGTCATATTACCAAAGGTTACTGTTTTGTTTTAAAAAATTCAAGAGTAATATATGCCTACTAGTGATCTTAATAACTCTAAGGTATATAAACACAGAAAATTTCTTTTCTTATCCCTTCTCCACTTGATTTAATTTTGGCCAAGGGGAAACTGAACAGGCATTTCTTTTAATTTGTGTTGCTTTTCCTAAGACTTTCATGGGATTTATTTTTTTGGGGATAATTGGAAATATATTTATTGCAAGTAAACTTATATTCTCCTAGCTTTCTGATCTGTAGAGAGAAGAAAAAGATGGCAAAACCTTGGAAGGGAGATCCAGGCTCTGGTCACTGTGGATAAGGCCAGTCAAATTTTATAATTTACCAAACATTTTTTTAATGAATAAATACATTTTAAAAGGCTGGCATAATCACCCTTAGTATTTTTTATTTATTGATTGATTTATTTTTGCAATTCACAAATTTTACATATTATTGATCTGGCTATAAACCTCAAGGGTCACAACCATTATAGCTTGAGGGTGAGTATCCCAATCTCTTTATTTGGGAGATTTGTGTCACATCTGCCGAAGTTTGAGAAGCAGAGCTTGGGGAAAGAAGTTCCACATGATGGAGTCTTGCTCTGTCCCTCCATACAAAGAAGGAAGGAGCCTCTTTGTGTCCTCCAAATAGTCAAATAAGTATAAATGCAGTTATATTCCATCCAGCAGTCAGTCTTCTGGCAAACTCAGCCTTTAAAACAGAGCCTTTTACTCAGAAGTCAAAAAAGGCTGCTAAGCTAGAACACAAAACTAAATCCGACACCTGGGATTCTCGTGAAATCCATACATCTTACTTCCTGGGTCTAGTATCCTACAAATTTAACTAAAAATAAATAGAAATTATGATTTAAACTTAGAGATTATGTTTTCCCCCGTAGTTTAATATCAAATTGGGTTGCTGGTGTATGTAGAATAGAAGACAGCGTGACTGGCTTCTCTGAAATTGATTCACTGAACAATGACAACACGTAGTTAAAGGAGAGTCAGCACTAAGTTCTGGAAACATTTATTTGATAATGGGGCAAGTGGTACTATGTATGGTAGTATTCATTTTATGCATTTATCCATTTCATCATTTACTCAATGAATTAATTCATCAAATGCATTTGATAATATTGAGTCATTATATGAAGACATATCTGGTACGTAAGAATAGGCAAGGTGCAGTAGATTATAGAAAGCTTTTCATATTAAATGATAAGATGTTGTTTAAAAGTTTTACTACTAAAGGGGTAAGCATCAAATGTTTTCTAAAAATTACTAACATGAAATTCTTAATTCTCCATTGATGTAAGATAAACTAGTCAGTACTATTATACAAATTTGATTATTTATAATCCTTGAATTCCAAGATAATAAACTCTTAAAAAATCTGGAGTAAAGATGCTGGGTAAAATTTCTTCCATGAATGTGTGATTAATTCAGATTTCTCTCTCCTTTCCCCACCCTTCTCCTGGCCTGAGCAGCATGACAGAAGGGCTAGGCCAATTGACAGATGGTGTGTCTGGCCTGGATGATTTCACCCAGACCCATGAATACCACGTGTGGCCCGGCTATGACTATGTGGGCTGGCGGAACGAGAGTGCCACCAATGGCTACATTGAGATCATGTTTGAATTTGACCGCATCAGGAATTTCACTACCATGAAGGTCAGTGGAGTTGGGTGTGGTAGAACTTCTTTAAGGAGCCACACATCATAGTGTTGTAGAGAAAAGGCATGCTAGAAAGAAGCCTAGGCTGATGCCAGTTCAGTGACATATACTGTTACTAACTAGCTAAATGCATTTCACAGGTCACTTCTCTAAGGGTGTGATTCTTCATTTGTGTGTTAAGGGAGTTAGGTCAGTGAGCTCTCATTTTTGTTGTTGTTGTTGTTCTAACACTAAAGGTGACATATTCATTAGGTACAATAACAGTCTCCAGGGCCCACAGATTTTTAAAGTCCCTAAAAATGCTTTAATTTATTTTAGTGTCAGGTGAAAACAATTAATTTTTAGGTTAAAGATTATATTTATCTTTTTACCAGTGCATGTGTGTGTGTATATGTATGTGTATATATATATACACAAACATACATATGTGTATATTTATACATATATATACACACTATATATGTGGAGTAAAGATGCTGGGTTAAAGCTCCTCCATGAATGTGTGATTAACTCATATATATATGTATGTGTGTATGTATATACATATACATACACACACACATTCCTTTTTTCTACAAAAAAAAAAAAGATGAAATTGTTTTGGATTGTATATTATTTCAGGTCTCTCACCTAGCCCTGTTGAAAGGAAGCAGACTGGCTCTGAAATGTACCTAGGAGGAAGTAGGATTGCAGTCTTCCACTTACCTCAGTTCAAAATAGCTCTAATCAGGGTATACAGCAACTGTGATTGAGAAGATCATAGACTGGAGAGAGTTCAAGGCAAGGAAGGGCCTGAGAAGAGGCTGCAGTCCTCATTTAACAGATGAGAAAACTGCAGTCCAGCAACATGAAGTGAGCTGGCAAAGGGCAGACAGTGCATACAGGTAACAAGGGTTGTGGCCTGGTTTTATGAGGCCTGACCAATTATCACTGCCACTGTGAGGTTCCTAGAAGGAAAAATCCAGAAGACTGCAGAACACCAACTATTCACCAAGGGTGGTGCTCACAGAAAGAGCAAGTCTTGACTCTTAAACTGAGTTGGCTGGTACTGTGTCCCTGTGCAGCTTAGCAGGACCAACCTATCACTCACATGCCTCTCTCTCTACCAGGTCCACTGCAACAACATGTTTGCTAAAGGTGTGAAGATCTTCAAGGAGGTACAGTGCTACTTCCGCTCTGATGCCAATGAGTGGGAACCTAATGCCATTTCCTTCCCCCTTGTCCTGGATGACGTCAACCCCAGCGCTCGGTTTGTTACGGTGCCTCTCCACCACCGAATGGCCAGTGCCATCAAGTGCCAATACCATTTTGCTGATACCTGGATGATGTTCAGTGAGATCACCTTTCAATCAGGTAGGGAGCTCAGGTTCCCTTTGGGAAGTGGGAGCAAGGTGATGAAGGAGGAAGGCACAGACCCAGAACATCTCATTAGCAGGTCTCTGAGAGGAGTGGGATTGTACAGGTGGCTTCTCATTGCTGGATACAGTGAATCCTTTGTGTGGCTAGTTTTACCTGTGGAGAGGTAGGGATGAGAATGGAAGTGAACAAATATTCATGTAACTCTTCTTAGAAAGTATTTTTTAAAAAAGAGAGTATAGTACTATTTTTTCAAGAAATCTTGATTCCTTTTTGTAGGAAATGGTATTTTGATACTACAAACTGGGCGGTAGGGATGCTCATTGCTAATAGGTTGTCATTGTTTCTTGGACTTTTTGGTGGAAGAAAGCAATTAAGTGAAAAAAATGTTTCATGTAACTCTTCATTATAAACTCACTGATTTTTGTAAATTTAATGTTTAATTGATTGCAGCTATTCTTCTTCTTCTTTTTTTTTGAGACAGAGTCTCACTCTGTTTCCCAGACTGGAGTGCAGTGGTGCAGTCTCAGCTCACTGGAGGCCTGCAACCCTGCCTCCAGGGTTCAAGTGATTCTCCTGCCTCAGCCTCCAAAGTAGCTAGGTGCCTGTTACTGCACCTGGCTAATTTTTCTATTTTTAAAGACAGGGTTTTACCATGTTGGCTAGATTGGTCTCCAACTCCTAACTTCAAGTGATCTGCCTGCCTTGGCCTCCCAAAGTGTTAGAATTTCAGACATGAGCCACTAAGCCCAGCCATTGTTCTTTTTAATACTCAACTTATGCTGTCTTTCACTAGAGCTTGCATTTTTAAAGGGGCTCTTTGCTCTTTGAATCAGACCCTAGAAGCCTTTGATAACTTTCTTGTTTTCTGAAAGAACAAGGTATTTCAAGCTCATTTTGAACATGTGCTACCCCCGACATGGAATCAACCATTTCCTCAAGAAATTGTGATTCTTTTTAGTAGTAAATGGTATTTAGATACCATAAACCGGGCAATAGGGATGCTCATTGCCAATAGATTGTCATTGTTTCTTGGATTTTTCAGTGGAAGAAAGCAACAAAATATGTATTTTTAAAAATAAAAAGATTATGAGTTCACTTTGTTACTTCCAATTCAAATTAAAGATAAGGGTTTCATTTAAATTTGATTTTATACTTTCATCTCTATAATGTTGCTAAATATCATGTTTTCTAACAATGTTAGCAGCATTTCTTCATCTTACTATTCGAAAAGCAATACCAATATTATTACTAACAACATACTATTGAGCATTAAGATTTCTTTGCAATTCTCTTTTCTTTGTCCTGAGCATGTATCCTACTAAGAATGTGTAGTCAAAGTACTATGTTCTAAGGTCAGCTGAGTACCAGTAGGATAATTTTTTTCTGTATATAGTTATGTCACCAATGTGATATACAGTTAGATTCGGTTGATTATTTCAACTTTTAAGTATTCGTTTTAAACTCTAAACACTACTTTTGATTGAACAGTAACAGTAGCAAATAGTGATTTAAATTCTTGGAGCCAGAAACTGCAAAATCTTGAAAAGTTAAAAGGCATTTAGAACATTGTTCATACCATTAAATTTTAGATGGGGAGACAAAAGATACACAGTGCTTTAAAAAAATGTCCAAAGTAATATGAACAATAAAGGGTCAGAAGGAGAAAGGACACTAGAGTGGGTTTGTCATAGACAGCATCAAAGGAATGAGACTTGTACTGGGCCTGGAAGAAAAGTCCAGGTGTAAAATAACAGAAGAGAAATGAAGAGACTAATTTAAAGATAAACCACACTTTGGGATGCCAAGGCAGGAAGACTGCTTGTACTCAAGAGTTTGAGACTAGCCTGGGCAACATGGAGAAACCCTACCTCTACAAAAAACACAAAAATTAACTGGGTATGATGGCACCTGCCTGTAGTCCCAGCTAGGGAGGCTGAGGCAGAAGGATCATCTGAGCCCCAGAGGCAGAGCTTGCAGTGGGTCAAAATTGCACCACTGCACTCCAGCCTGGGTGACAGAGTGAGACCCTGTTAAAACAACAACAACAACAACAACAAAAACACCAGATAAACCAAAAGAACCTATCATTTCAGATTCGATTTTTAAAGGAAGGAAATTTCAAGATGGTTTGCTTATTAAGATGTACTGATAAGAAAATGGAGCATATTTTTAGGAAAACAGGTTTGGTGTTTAAATGCTTCTGTGCTGAGGATTTCCTCTCAGAGTAAATGGATTGATTATTTTATCTGAGTATCTACTGAGAGCAGAAATCAAGATGCTCAAAGTCAGTGCCATTTATACTGTAAGTGTTAACTGGGGGACAAAGAGATTCCCACCCATCCTCAGGAATTCTCCTGGCAGAGTAATTGGTACACTTATTATAGCTAATTATAGCTATGAACCATCGTTTTTGACTCCTGGGGTCTCTTGAGCTTTAAATCCAATGTCTTAATAATGTTAGTTTTCACTGGAGCCTGACAACCGAACTCAGAAAGCACATGCAGATGTCAGATACCTCCTTATTTACATAATAATGTTAAGAAGAAGAAAAATTAAGATACTTGGAAGAAATGTCTTTTAGAAAGGAAATGCATATTCTAATTCTTGACCCCCTTGGTCAGATAAATCAGAGGAAATAATTCTGGCAAAGCTGCAAGCATCACTTGTGGTTTAGTCTCAGAAGCTGCAAAATCACGGTAAGGGACACTCCAATGTCAGTAAATACCAATAAAGATGAAGCCTTAATTCATAAATTGGAGGGCTAGGCCAATGAGGCATAGTGGAGACTCTTTTATAAACAACCTATTTTCCTCGAAGGGAAAAGCATCTTAACACTGTCTGTCCCTTGCCCATGTACCCACTATATTTTCTCTATATTTTTGCTGAATTTGGGTCCTGCTTCTTATGCTTTATGATAATATGTGGTCACAACCCTTTGAATTGCTGTTTCTTAAACCTTTTGTACCATAGCACCTAGCATGTAATATGTGAAACAAAAATTTTATAAAGAAAAACTTGCCGTTACTATTTAGATGAATGGTGATATTTTTATTTAATGTATTTATGATTTAATTTTTTTTTTTAGAAGGCTGATGGCAACCCACTAAATTGATCTCTTGATGTGCTAGGTCACAATATGCCTCCAGAGAAAACACTAGCTATCTGTCTTCTCCCTGGCTCTGACTCACCCTTGTTTTATAACAGATGCTGCAATGTACAACAACTCTGGAGCCCTACCCACCTCTCCTATGGCACCCACAACCTATGGTATGTGTGATTCCTAAATTATACAAATTAAGTTGAAGGGACTTCCCGGAGGATGAAGAAGGGTGGAGATTTGCAAAGCCCTGGCTGTGTGAGAGGCTTTATACCAGGTGGCTTTGGATGAAGAGTAGCCCTGGAAAGGTAGGACTGTCTACCTCCAAGATACGGATCCAAACATATTCTCTTCACTACTGATTCATGTGCTTCTTTAACTGAGGCACAGTCTGGAGTTGTCCCAATTTCTCCATGAAAGACTGGGAATTTGGGGTCAGAAATAGGGAAAGGGACATTCCTATGTGAGACCTGTAGTGGGGATTTCTAAGAATGGGTAGAAGTCTAAGAAACAAAATACTGGTCTTTCTAAATATGCCATGTATGCATTGCTTTAGGCAATCGTTGGTGACACCAGCCAGCAATGTGGGAAGCATGTGATTGCATGTGTCCAAAGAGGACTTTCAGCTACCTTGGCATATCTCAAAGAATGCAGAGGGTGAAACTGGTCCCTCACCTGTTTTTCATGAGGTGTGATTAAGGGACTGTAGACTCAGGCCATAATAATATAGTGACAAATTTTGGGAAGAATAGAAAAACTCACCATTATCCTGTCTGACATGGAGAGGGGGAGGCTACTGTCTTATGGTAGAGGGAAGTAGGATATGGGAACAAAGTAATAAAACAGGCTGAGTATGGTGGCTCACACCTGTAATCCCACTACTTTGGGAGGTAGAGGCAGGCAGATCAAAAGGTCAGGAGCTCAAGACCAGCCTGGCCAACATGGTGAAACCTTGACTACAAAAAGTACAAAAATCAACCAGGTATGGTGGTGCATGCCTGTAATCCCAGCTACTCAGGAGGCTGAGGCAAGAGAATCACTTGAACCTGTGAGGCAGAGGTTGCAGTGAGCTGAGATCATGCCATTGCACTCCAGCCTGGGCAACAAGAGCAAAACTCTGTCTCAGGGGAAAAAAAAGTAATAAAACAGTAGCAAGAGCAAGGTGGCATCTTCTAGAATTATCCTCAAGGAACAGAGTCTACCTCCATATTTTCAGTCCAGTCCCTCATACTCTCTTACTTGACCTGTGGGATGATTGTATTCTCTGCCTTCTCTCCCTGGTCACAGATCCAATGCTTAAAGTTGATGACAGCAACACTCGGATCCTGATTGGCTGCTTGGTGGCCATCATCTTCATCCTCCTGGCCATTATTGTCATCATACTCTGGAGGCAGTTCTGGCAGAAAATGCTGGAGAAGGTGAGGAGGTGCAGAATAGGCAGATACAAGAATCTGCTCCTTTTTTTCTTAAGCCACTGTTGTCCCAGGAGTAAAAGGCAAATTGCAAAAATGTATTAATGGTTAGAGCTAACTGAGACTATCAAGAAACGTAGAAATAGAGCCAGAAAAAGAATTAGCTAAGTCTATTTTCTCATTTTTAGAGTGGAGATGTTGGAACCTTCCTCAGAAATGCAGAAAAATCTTTTTAATACATTTAACCTCAATTCAGGCATTTTCCTTGAAATTCTGATTCACTGGATTTTGGGTGGAGTCCAGGCATCCATATATATATATATATATATATATATATATATATATAAACAGGTGCTTCTGATGCACATCCGAGGTTAAGAATCACTGTCCTAATGCCAAGTTGAAATTTCTGCTAATGCTGTTGAAGTTCCTTCTCTTCTTTTTCAGTTTGCTTTTGTTTTGTGTGTGTGTGTGTGTGTGTGTGTGTGCGCACGCGCGCGCGGTTTGCATGTGCGTTTGTATGTATGTAGAAAAACATCTAGCTTTATTAATATTCAAGCCAAGTTTCTTACTATTTCTAATTTCCACTTTTGTGTACTTGAAGGTTATGATTATGTATCTCTCTGAGTCCCTCTTCAGACTCTTTCTCTCTAGGCCAAATGATCTGAATAACTTTTTACATTGTCTAACACTTTACAAGAGGCAGACTTTTTCCTCATGTACAGTTTTATATACACCTCATTGAGTAATAACTCATGGGCATTGTTACATTTAGCTATTTTTCTGATGAGAAAATTTGATGTGCTCAAGGTCATACAACTGGTATCCAGTCTTCTATGCATTTTCCAATTGTTAATATTGAAATGCCTTGATTTCTTTCTTCAAAACTATATTCATTTCATCAAAGATGGAATATCTATGACTTGTTTGGTTTCTTGGACCAAATAGCAACTCACTGTTTCTTAGTGTCTGAATCTCTTGGGGTCTGCTGATGAGTAAGTGTTTCTACCTTTGGCCATGGTCACCTACCCTGGTCAATGAGTTCCTCTCAATAGACATGGACTAGGAGAGGTCACAGAAACTCTGAGCTGTGAGGCTTTGAACTGCCTCCGAGGGCAGGGAACAGGAAGGAGGAGAAATCCTGATTGATTTCTGTGTTTGGAGGTGAGATCTCAGGGGAGATCAATGCCTATGTGGAGCCTCTATTCCAGAGGAGAGGAAAGGGCACCTTGAGAATGGGCTTGAGTCTCCAGAGCTTTCTAGATGTAAGATGGCAGAAAAATGGCTCACATCAGGGGTGAGGAGGAGCAATCTTGATGAGTAGCCTGTGATTCCTTCTGACCTGTGTCATACCTGGGTTCCTGAGATGGCTGATGTTTGTTTTAAGGTTTTCACGCAGGAATATTTCATGGAAGAGAAGGTCTCCTTGGTTCCCACAAGTATGTCGCCCAGTCTGAAAATATTAAAGCTTTCAATTCTCAAATAGCAACAGAAGACTGAAAGACAAAATCCGCAGAGACTCACTCACTGTCATGAGCATGTCTCAAGGCATGAATGAGGCAAATATCAAAACTTTTCCTCCTTTAGAATGCTGGAACACACCAGTGCCTAATACCTGACCAGAGGCATTCCAGAATGAGGATGGTGGTGAACTGAAGGTTCATTGGACAGCTTGAAGAGGCTATGTGACTATCTTAAATAGTTAGGACCACGTTTTAGCCAAGGGAGGAGGGTCTGTGTTCTCTGGCTTCACATAAAGTGAGCCAAAATTTACCACACTTCTCTGAGTCTTTATTCTGAGAGGCCTGTTGGAATATCTTCTTGGGCTGTAAGAGAAATGTTGCAATCTCCAGGTAAAAGGTAAAGCAAAGATTTTGCCCTTGAATATTTAACTTGTTCCTCCAAGAAATTCTACCCCTGTAGATCCTGAGTAAGATGACTCAAGATGCTCTGGAATGACACTCAGGATTTCTTCCTGGGGACAGAATTTTATGTGGAAAATCATTAAGTACACATATACATTATAAGAACATTACTTAACATAGCTGTAGACTGTAGCATTATTTGTAGGATACCTTTGATGGTGTCCTCAACATTCCTGCTCTGCGTGATTCAACCCACATATACTGAGTACCTACTATGTTCTGAGCTTCTTGCTTAATACTGGGTTTATTATTGCAACAGAGGACCTTTCAGTATAGTGGAAAAGTGCACATCTAAGGTTCGTTGTTGAGCACCCAAGCTGTGTTTGTTGGGGTGGAGCATTTCACTTGTTTAAATTCAGATAGTCACATGCATGCAGGTGCTGGCATTTTCCTTTTGATGGAGCAGGCAGGTTATATTAGATAAGATGCCACAGGATTAGTTGTTATGTTGTTCTCCTTCATTTATTAGGTGTCTGTCACTTTGTTATCTCTGGACACCTAGGGCTTTCCTGTCCCATATTGTAACCATTTTCTGTTTGGTTAATGAAAATATGGGTTGGCAGTGGGTATTATCCTAATCTGCAGTGTCAAAATGATCAGGTAGAACTATTGATACATCATGTTACAGCACATTTATTAAGTTAATAAACAATTTATGTCTATTCCAAAACCAAGCAGTTAAAGGGTAAGCCAGCAAAATCCATCATTTAATAAAACATAGAAAACTGTAAGATTGAGATCTTTGGCTACTGATAGGTTCTTACAGCATTATGAAGATAATGCTTTTTTAAAAATGTTTCAGAAAGCACATCATAGAAATTAGAAGATCAAATTCTACCTCGAAGAAATGAAGGATTATTCTAAGTTTCTATAACACAAGCATTTGTGAAACCAGACTGCATCCCTAGCACATGCAGGGCTGCTGAGGTGCTGGGGTTAAACAGTAGTAAAGGGTTATTTCCTTTGAGTGGAAGAGCTGAGTTTAAGAAGGGGAGGAATTGATCATCTCTTTTGTGCCAACACACCTTTCTCCTTGTTCTTCTCTTCCAGGCTTCTCGGAGGATGCTGGATGATGAAATGACAGTCAGCCTTTCCTTGCCAAGTGATTCCAGCATGTTCAACAATAACCGCTCCTCATCACCTAGTGAACAAGAGTCCAACTCAACTTATGATCGCATCTTTCCCCTTCGTCCTGACTACCAGGAACCATCCAGGCTGATACGAAAACTCCCAGAATTTGCCCCAGGGGAGGAGGAGTCAGGTGAGGATGATGTGATGGGCAGGAGGTCGAGGGAGAAACTTTGACAAGCATCAGGTAGGTATGACAGTCTGCTCCCAGTTAACTGCACCTATTTTTAGTCTCTGCTAACCTCCTGAGAAGTCGACATTCTCTTTCTAGATTTGGTCTGCTGCTGCTTCTGGCCTAATTTGAGCATCTCTCCTTTGCTACTGAACATAAGATGTGGGGAGGGATCCACATACCAGAAAAGAAAGAAAAAAAAAACTACATGTTAATTAAGTATTAACGCCAGAAGAACCTAAACAGTCCAACCAGTCTAACCTCATTTTGCATGTCGGGAAAGTGAGAAGGCCCAGATAGAGTACTCATCCAACACCAAATTTCATGAGTGGGTAAAGGCAGGGCTGGATTTTCACCTGGAGAAGTCAATAAAGAAAGCTGAAGACATTCTGAAATTCCCAGTGGTGTAGTCATCTTAATAACTAAAATAAATAACTACTTGAGTTATCGGCTTTTGTTAATTTCTCTTTGGTCAACATTTACTAGAGAAATATGAGATTTTATTACGAGAGTAAAATATTTCTCGCCTTTTCTCAATAAAAGCATTGAAATGAAACAATAAAAGGTAAAAAAAGTAGTTCCAGTTGGTTCAAATTTCAATGTCTTTTAAAAAACGATGCAGAGTGATGTCAGAAGGGAAGCTGGAGTCACCTTTTAAGCTCAGGGCCGCTTTTCTCTAAGGTCATCAACCTGAGGGACCCAAGTCAGTAGAAAAGAACTTGTGGCGTTCAGAAGAGAGGCGCTATGTCTGAGCTGGATGTAGAAGCAGACAGTACTAAACACAAGAGCATAGGATTTTACAGGAAGGAGCCTGAAGGGGTCTTCTCAAAGGATAAAAGGAAACTTACATCTATTTTATCATTCAATGGATAGCAGACACGAAAGAGCTTGCTAAAACTCAAGTAATTTCACAGAGACAGCAAGCATAAAGGATATAAACTAATTTATTTCTCAGGGTGAATAGAAATAATTTACCTATTTCCGAAATCTAAAACATCCCTCACCTCATATTTTAATTTTTTTCCCTAAGTTAGACTATGTCTGAAACTAGATCACATGTCTTTAATCTGAAAGTTTTTTAATACCTAAAATCAGTTTTTAAGTCAATAAGTGTCTTAAAAATAAGGAAGTAAGTGATCAAACCTTCAACATTTAGTATTCCCACCCTGATATACCATAAACCTTCCTGTAGTTTACCACACAATTCCACACGTTTAGCCACAGAATGTGTTAATGGTCATGTATTATGAGGAAAAGAATGAGACATAAAATGGTGTCCCACATTCTGAAGGCCAGAAGAAAATCTCGAGGAAGCAAAACCATCTTCCTAGTAAGACTATCATGAAGAAGGTTGGGCTTTCCCAGGGGCATGTTTTAGCCCTCCTCTCAGAATTTCTTTCTTGAAGAGATCTCCACCGGTGCTCCGTGGAATGAGACTGGTTACCGTGTCTTCCCAGGCTGCAGCGGCGTTGTGAAGCCAGTCCAGCCCAGTGGCCCCGAGGGGGTGCCCCACTATGCAGAGGCTGACATAGTGAACCTCCAGGGAGTGACAGGAGGCAACACATACTCAGTGCCTGCTGTCACCATGGACCTGCTCTCAGGAAAAGATGTGGCTGTGGAGGAGTTCCCCAGGAAACTCTTAACTTTCAAAGAGAAGCTGGGAGAAGGCCAGTTTGGGGAGGTAAGTTGATTATTTGGGTTTGCGCCTCCAGTCTCTTACAGCTCGAAGGAAGTGGTTGGATAAAAATGGTCAGTAGAACAAAGAGTCCTTTCCAGAAGTGGATTCACAACAGAATGCCTCTTCCACTTGTCTCTCCTTGTGTTGTCCTCTGGATTCTAGTATTGGGTCAACCTCATCTTTGTCAAATAGCTGTAGAGTTCCTAGGACTTCCGATTTCTATACAGGAGTTTTTAAGGCAGGCAAGTCACTAGACTTCAGATATCTTGAAAAACATCCAGTATTTTCCAAAATGTTTACAATGGATTGTGGAGGGTGGGGCCCACAAGATGTGATCATCTTTTATGAACTGTCCAGGAACATCCTGCTGCTCAATAGCCACTTTGTTTTTTTCCCCTTTAATGGAAGTTACATGTAAAATGATGAAAAACAACCTCACCCCTGCTTTTGGTCCCAGAATCAGCCGCTAGGGAATGAATCACCAACTAAGATAAGGAGGAGTACTCTTTTCAGTTGCCCTCAGAGTGATGCATGCATTATTAAACTTTTCACTCTTGCATCAGTTCCCTGAACCTTCTGGGAGCTCAAAGCAATGTTTTGAGTTGTAATAGGAACTCTTCACCACTGCCATCTAAACTCCAAATAGAACACTTGGTTTCCTAAGATGTGTTACTGGTTTTCAGTGTGGATCTCATGTTCTCTCCTTGGATAGGTCTGGTGTTACAGGAGGTTGAGGGGCCCATGTTATCTGTTCAAGGTGTTACGTGTACTCATTTTGTCCCCTGGATTGAAAATCCACATCTGTTATACTGTTAATAATACACAGGAGTTGCTTATAATGCTAAACCCCATACTAAGGGATTGCTTTAGGAAATTGCTTTATGTTTTAAGTAATCCAGTGACTGATGAATCAAAATTCAAGCATTTGTAATAAAAGACATTTTATAGTGGGCTATGCTGTCATATAATATTGTTATCGATTCATTCATTCACTTAATGTTCCAATCAATGTATATTTCTAAGTCAGGAAAGTAGCATATTAGCTGGGTACTTTACCATTGTTTTTAATCTTATCAATTATCTGAATCATAGATATGTTCCACATATCTTCTTATTGGTCTTTTGATCATTTTGCCTGAGTTGTAAGAGTTAGTTTATCTCCAGGAATGCCCAGCAAGAGTACTGAGACATCTTCAGGAGCAATGATGATGCTGAGACTAGATGACTTTTGTCTAGGTTCATCTCTGTGAAGTGGAGGGAATGGAAAAGTTCAAAGACAAAGATTTTGCCCTAGATGTCAATGCCAACCAGCCTGTCCTGGTGGCCGTGAAAATGCTCCGAGCAGATGCCAACAAGAATGCCAGGTCTGTGGTCTACATTTTGAGTTTTCTTTTATGCATTTCATGTTTAGGACCAGGAATACTCCTGGATACTTCTGAGCAATTTTCAGTGAGCTGCCTCGCCTTTCCACGGTTACCCTTTGTCTTATTCCGATGGGCTCAGCAGTTCTCATCTTTTTTCCATTTCTCTCAAACACGAAGGTACATTTTCTGTTGTACTTGCTACATATTTACTTCCTAATCTCCTGTGCACAAGCACTGTACTTCCCAACATACACAGCTGTCTGGATGTGTATGTCCTCAGTCTTTACACACAGACATACTCCTGCATGCTATTACCTCCTCTTGACAAAGTTTTCACAATCACACATGTCTTTCTTGCTAGGCCTCTTTCATTCTCCTTTTTTCACATTTCTATTTATTTTCTCATCCCTTTTTTCTCTTTTATGCTCCTTTTCTTCTACGTCCAGCAACCCTCAAAATGAGAAGCTACCTCTATTTGGAAAATTATCTATGAATCTCAGAGCAAAAGGAATCCACTATTCTCTAGCAGTTTTCCAAACTGGCTAATAATCTCTTGGATCTTTTTCTACATAAATTGCAGTTTCCAGCCACACTCCATTTGTCCGACAGCCTTTCCGTTACAATAATGGTGAGTTAATCCTCACCCAGAGAGGCAAGCTGGTTGAAAGCTGGCTGTATATGTCCCAGAGAAATCTCCGCACCTGGATAACCTATGCATTTTCCCATTTGTGTTGTCTTGATTTGTCTCACTGATATTCATAGTGAAAAAAGTTTATTATTCTCCAAATTATCATAAATTCCAAGAATGGTGATAGACTTCATTAAAAGTCTTGCAATGGATAGGATGTAGGATAAAGAAGAGAGAAAGATGAGGAAATGAAACTGTGGAGGCTTTAGAAATTTGACTGAGAATTTCGATCTTTAAGATACTGGTAAAAATAAAAAGCAGCATTCCTGGATCTCATAGAGAGATGAAATATTTCTTACATTAATCTTACATGTTTGGAGAAAGTGGCACGAGGGAACAAAACAAAACAACACCACAGGACACAGGATATGACAAAGCCTTTCTCCGTTGCTCTCATCAGTGAAGTTTGCCATTCCTCCACCTGTGTCCTTAGCAGTGATGGCTGGCCATGACTGTGGACCCTTCCAGGCCATGGAAACTCCTGGTTTGGGACAGAAGGAAGAATGAAACAGGGGAGGTATTGCATCAGGACTTCATTGATATCAGTGGTTTATATTGACATAGCATGACTTTCAGTTCGGGATTCCTAGAGAACTCTTGGAGGGCTTATAACTGATCTGCTCCAGTAGTTTTCAGAATGTGGGCGAGAGGCCTCACCAACCCAAATATTGCTTCTTTATGACCCAAGGGTGTCTGTCACTGTGTACTCAAACAATTATTAGTCTTGGTCAAGTGAATACTTCTTTTGACATGACTTTACCACTAGGGCCTTTAAACAGCTCTGTTTTGGACAGGCTACTAAATACATGTTGCAACTGACTGATGGTTCATACTGCATTAAGAAAAGTCAGTAGGAGAAAATAAAGAGTCATCAGATAAGCCAAAGCATGGTTGTTTACATCATACAAAGTTTCTTCACTTTAGTAATAGAGTGACTCCATGGCTTTTAAAAAGGGTAAATATCCTCATGCACTTATGATACGATTTTCAGTGAAACGTTTTATTTTGCTGAATAGTTTTTAGCAGCCTATTTTAATCACTTTCTGTGTGGCAGGGATTTTGTTAGATACGCGGGATAAAAATGTGAATAAGTTATGGGTCTTGTCCTCAAAAACATTACAGTTGAATAAGAGTCCATGATATTTCAGGAGGAATAGAATTAGACAGGTCCAGGTGCCAACTTCTCTGTCCTCTCAAAAGTTATCCAAAGGGAAAAGAGAATTTGGTGTAATGTCTAGGAGTAGACCTTGGTGTGCATTATTCTCCCTCTTGATTCTGACTCTGGCAACTTCTGAGTTTGTGTTTGTCTGTATCCTCCCAAGGAATGATTTTCTTAAGGAGATAAAGATCATGTCCCGACTCAAGGACCCCAACATCATCCATCTCTTAGCTGTGTGTATCACTGATGATCCTCTCTGCATGATCACTGAATACATGGAGAATGGAGATCTCAATCAGTTTCTATCCCGCCATGAGCCCCCCAATTCTTCTTCCAGCAATGTACCCACTGTCAGGTAAACAAGCCAGGTCTTCCATCTCTTCCCTGTGGTCATGAGAGTAACCTGGGATCTGAAAATAGGGAGCAGTGAGCCATAAAGTGTACCACTGTTCTGGGATGGTGGGGGAAGTTAGAGTGCAGGGAATAATGGAGCAGCTGCCCTTTGGGGGAATGCAAGGGACCCATCAAGAATAGAGAAAGGTTGAGCTTTCAACCCTGGTTTGTTGATACCAATTTTAGAAGGTATATCTTTCACATCTTCCTGTTTCCATAGGCTACCTTCTGTCTTCTTGTCTATTTCCTCAGTTACACCAACCTGAAGTTTATGGCTACCCAAATTGCTTCTGGCATGAAGTATCTTTCCTCTCTTAATTTTGTTCACCGAGATCTGGCCACACGAAACTGCTTAGTGGGTAAGAACTACACAATCAAGATAGCTGACTTTGGAATGAGCAGGAACCTGTACAGTGGTGACTATTACCGGATCCAGGGCCGGGCAGTGCTCCCTATCCGCTGGATGTCTTGGGAGAGTATCTTGCTGGTGAGTTCTCAGCATTTTAAAGCCCTACCTAGCAACTGGCTTGTGGGCTGGCAGGCATGACATGTGGAGATGAACCTGAGACAGCAGGAGGCAAACTCAATAGACTGTAATATTTTCTCTGATTTGAAACTATTACTATTATTTTAGACAGAGTTTTGCTCTTGTTGCCCAGGCTGGAGTGCCATGGCATGATCTCGGCTTACTGCAACCTCCTGGGTTCAAGCGATTCTCCTGCCTTCAGCCTCCTGAGTAGCGGGGATTGCAGGCACCTGCCACCATGCCCAGCTAATTTTTGTATTTTTGGTAGAGATGGGGTCTCACCATGTTGGCCAGGCTGGTCTTGAACTCCTGACCTCAGGTGATCCACCCGCCTCTGCCTCCCAAAGTGCTGGGATTACTGGCATGAGCCACCACGACTGGCATGCTTTTTGCACTAATTCTTATTATTCAATGCTTCCCTATTTCTGCTACAAAATTCACACACTTATTATAAAAATTTAGGGAGACAAAATAAAAAGTATAAGATATTTATTATCTTTGTTTCTTTTTATCATTTGTCTCTAGTGATTGTTCCTAATTTAAGGTATTAAAACCTTATCATTTAAAGAAATATTATCTATACAAAATATTTTCTTCTCCATTAGTTTCATAAGCATGTTTCTCATAATTGTATAGACTAATCCCTATAATTGTATTTCAATACTTTTCAATATGTTCTTTTTAAGTTCATCATTCTTTGCTGTATAATTTTTATTCAATTCTTGATATTCCATACCATAAGTGAATAATTTTTTCCAGATTTCTCTCTTAGAGGTACATTTTCTGTCCATGCATACCTGAGACTCTTTTTTTTTTTTTTTTTTTGAGATGGAGTTTTGCTCTTGTTACCCAGGCTGGAGTGCAATGGCACGATCTTGGCTCACCGCAACCTCTGCCTCCTGGGTTCGGGCAATTCTCCTGCCTCAGCCTCCTGAGACTTTTTAATTGTTGATTTTACAACCACTCAGCTGACTTATAGACTCATTAGACTATACGCTTTTACTTCCTACAGTGCCCTTTACATGTTATTTTGTCTTTTGCCTTGTGTAACATTGCAGAGAAAAGTCTGAGACCAATTTGGTTTTGTTCATTTATGGTTAATCTGCTTATTTCCTGCTCATATTCTTATAGAATTTGTGAATCATTTTGAAATGAAAAAATGTATAATTATTCCCTTCTACTCACCAAGATAACCAGTATTAACGTTTTGGTATATTTCTTTGAGGATTTTTTTTCTATACATCTATTTTTTCTATGCACACATTTCTATACATATGTACATATATTTAATCTATAGTACATAACTGGGATGACACTATGCTATACAATTCTTGATCCCTATTTTTAACTTAACATTTTATTAACTGCATAATATTCCATTGTGTAGATATATCCTATAACTTAATAATGCCTCTATAATTTAATATTTAAGTACTTTCCAATTTCTTGCTATTATGAATGATGCTGTGATGTACACCAGTTTACATAAAGCCTTATAAAGATCTTTTTCACCTACATATGTGAATTGTATATTTTACACATTTCTAATGGGATATTTAGGCATTGCTCTCTCTAAAGGTATTGTGTGATGTTGAAAATATATTAGACTGACATTCAGAGGACCTTGGTTCAAATACAGTTTTTCCACTACGAATGGTCTTATTAACCAAGTGACTCTGGGAAACCTCTCCTGTTTAATTTTTCTGATCTAAAAAATATGGATAGCTGGCATGGTGGTGTGTACCTGTAGTCCCAGCCACTCAGGAGGCTGAGGTAGGAGGATCAAAATCTGGGCTGCACTGCACTATGCCTGTTGAGAGTCCTCACTGAATTTGGCATTAATATGGTTACCCCTAGGAGCAGTGGACCACCAGGTTGCCTAAGAAGGGATAAGCCAGCCCAGGTTGGAAACAGAGGAGGTCAAAATTCCCATGTTGATCGGTTAGTGAGATCAAACCTCTGACTAGCCATTGTACTCCAGGCTGGGCAACATAATGAGACCCCATCTCTCAAAGAAAAAAAAATTTAAAAATAAATACTATCCACTTCACAGTGTTGTTGTCTGTATTGAGTAGAAAATATGAGTAATCAATGCATGCTCATTATACCTGACTCTCATTGCTGTCACTTGTTGAAGTCTATCTTTCAACACAGTGATTGTCACTGAGCTGGTAAATGAGAGTCCTGGATTCACTCCCAGCACTTAAACTGGATTCCTCTGTCTCTAACATAAAAACAATGGACTTCCCACTCAGATTTTGCCTTTCTCAGGAGCATTTTCCCAAAGCTACCCTATAGTTGAAAGCTTGACCTAACACTCAGTCGCAGAGTCAGATAGCTTATGGCTGTATTTTTTTTTTCAGCTCTTGGATCTCATCCCCAGAGAAACTGAGCTAAGTTGAGATAACGTGAATGAGAGAACAGGCTGTTTCTAAATACTCCATGAACATCTTGGCAGTTTCAGAATTCCTTCCCTGTCGTAGAGGAAAGGGTACAGCTCCAGATTATGAAATCTAACTGGTTCTTGTTCTTCACAGCTTATTCTGATTTCCCATTCTTTTCTTTACTTAAATAGGGCAAGTTCACAACGGCGAGTGATGTGTGGGCCTTTGGGGTTACTTTGTGGGAGACTTTCACCTTTTGCCAGGAACAGCCCTATTCCCAGCTGTCAGATGAACAGGTTATTGAGAATACTGGAGAGTTCTTCCGAGACCAAGGGAGGCAGGTAAGAACTGTTGGGGGAATGGATGCAGACCCGTGTACCCCTGAAGGATGGAAAATGGAAAGTCCTGACTTAGCAGGAGTGGGCTGAGCTGGAAGACAGACTATCTGGATGATAGTCTTTGTCATTAACTATCCAGATGATGTGGAAGACCAGGATCCTCCCCAGGCATCCATACACTTCGCTTTATCCATGCGTCAACTCATTGACTCATGGAGAGCATAAAGAATCATGTCAGGTTCCTCCCCAACTCAAAGGTAGCAGGAAATAAAGTCCTATCTCTTGTGTTTTATCTATTTCTTAATCTAGACCATGTGATTTTTCTTCTGGTTCAAAAAATGTAAGTGTAAAAGAGATGTATTAGCATTTATTTAAAATATAGCTGAATGTAAGAAATGGGGTTGGTTTTGACTATCTAGCAATGTTTCTAGACTTGGATGTCCAAAAATGAGCAGATATATCCTGAATTTGTTGCACTTGGAAGGCATCTCTGAGCCCAGTATTGTGGCATCTCAGGACTCAGGGAAAGATGGGTTCCCAAGCTCCACAGGCATCTCAGTTCCTACTCCAAGCTGTTTTGGGGTAGCTTCGGTTTAAAATTCCTGTGGAACCTAAGCCAGCAGGGAGACTGATTTCCATTCCTTATTGGGGAAAACAAAGCACTGAGAACATACAAGGATAAATGGGCTGCCACCAGATGTGGGGACTCTTTTGTCACTGGAGAGGTTAAGATACAGGCTCAAGAACAATGTAAGATCTGGAATGTAAAGCTTGGCAGTAACTATAGCACTGCACCTCCCCAAAGTGACCTGGCAGTAGCATATCCTTGGATTATGGCATCTTCACCAGGAAAAGGATAATAGCTGGGGAAGGATCTTCCAGACAATAAAAAGTAGATCTTCTGTGGCTTAAATAGATCCAAGCAAGCCAAAGATAGATAAGAGATTGACAGAGGATAATACATTATACATATTAAAAATAAGAGAGGGGTTTCATAATTCAATTTTATCTTGATATTCCATAAATATTTTAGCAGATGGGAGTCTAAATTAGCTATCTTGGTTATGAGGCAATTGCCTTCTTACAATCATAAAGGGAAAATTTACTCCTGAGTACACGAGATAAGTGAGTGAGCCAAAGAAAAATGTTTTCTGCTTCTGTCATGATTGGCTTAGCCAAGATGAACTTCAACATGGGTTACCCATAAATGGAAGATTTGGTCTCTTTCTGGTTGTTTCATCTTTTGCATGAAGGTAGGGACCACATGACGGCCCATCAGAAAATTCTGTTCCAGAGAACTGGAGAAGACAAAGAGACTAGCTTAGAAAAGGGGTGATATGATTCAGAACTTCAATGAGTAGGAAAAATGGACACCACGCCCATTTCAGTTATCAAATTCAAGAAAGTGGGCAGGGGGCAAATCAAACCATGATGCAAAGATGCTTCGCTTCCCGCCACCTTCCTAATATTCTCTCTCTTTTTTGTTTTCCTTTATTTTTGTTCCCAAAGACTTACCTCCCTCAACCAGCCATTTGCCCTGACTCTGTGTATAAGCTGATGCTCAGCTGCTGGAGAAGAGATACCAAGCACCGTCCCTCATTCCAAGAAATCCACCTTCTGCTCCTTCAACAAGGTGACGAGTGACGCTGTCAGTGCCTGGCCACATTCGTACGGCTCAGGTCCTCCCTACCACTCACCCACACCTACACCACTCCATCTGGACATTTAGTGAGCCTCGGAGACAGAGGCTTGTTCGCTTTGCCCTCTGTTCGTGGTCTCTCCCACTCTACTCCCCCACTCCCTACCCCTGACTCATATATACTTTTTTTTTTTTACATTAAAGAGCTAAAAGAGAAAAAAAAAAGCCTAGGGCAGATAAAATCTAGTAAAAGAAAGTCGTACTTGATATACCAAAGTGTTGGATAACAAAGGCTAGAAAATTCAGATAATTTATAAAGGTTAATTATTCTTGTGCTTATAAATGTGCAGATTCTACAATATTTTTCCATGTCACTCTAAACCAATCTTCAGAAAGAAAATCTTGAAGGAAACTAATGTCTTGGGAAACATGAGATGAAGTTTAGGGAAAACACTCGATAGATATGGAAAATCTGAGGACTCCGAATTCAGCAAGGAATCACAGGTGGTTTTCTAGTTTGGCCTCTGGACATGTCTCACTGTTTATATTTCTCTCTCCTGTCAAAGTGAATGATATATTCTTGAAAACCCCCAATTTCTTGAAATGGGTATTTTGTTCATTCATGGGCAGCAGTCTGGGTTGAAGTTCATATATGAAACAGGGAATGTAGATGGGAAAGAGTGTCTCCTACAAGACTGTATGAAGGGGAATTGTCATTTACAAAAAAAAAAAAAAGTACCTCATGTATGGAAGGATTCTTGAATAGATAATGGACATAGGAAAGAAGGTCAATGGAGGACACATAACAGACATGCTATCCACCATTTATTTTGATTTCATTAGAGGGTTCTCTTCTTTGTCTTGTACAGACATTTTCATGTGTGTGTTTTAGTGAGAATGTGAGTTTTTAATCAGTAAAGGCTGATGTTTTGATATCTTGATGGTAGATTTCTGAGTTCATCTTGTCCAAATCTTCTAGCTCTTTCAAGGATGAAGCCTCTGTGGGATCTTTGGACTTGGGGCTGAATTTCTCAGGCATCAATACCTAATGGCCTTGTCTATGAGGGAATAGATCTATTCTGAGTGTCCCCAAAAAGGTTGTCTCAGTACTAATGAGGAGAAGTTATAGAGAGACTGATTTCTATTCCTTTTTGAGAAAAACAAAGCACTCAGAACATAGAAGGATAAATGGGCTGCCAACCAGAGGTGTGTAGTCAAAATTTTGTCACTGGAGAGGTCAGGTTACAGGCTCAAGAATAATGTAAGGAACATTGAAGTTTTCAAACACAAAGTGGATGGTGGTACGAGACAATGTTTAATGTCCTTCTAACTCTGAGTGTCATTGATTCTGGAGAGGTACAGGATGAGCATATATTGCTACTGCTCTGTATATACCCTCTTGCCTCTGAGATGTGGCTTCAGAATTCATGGAAACAGAGTCACTATCAAGAAGGAATCTTCTCAGAGCAAATTCTGAGCTTTCACATTCCACAAATCCTCAGATTTAGTGGGAAGTTGGAAAAAGGAACTCTTAATTCCCACTGAGGAGAAACAAGACAACATTACAAATCAGCTTCCCAAGCTGAGAAAGAATACCCTTGACCCGTTGGGTCTGCCTCTGTTGCCTTCACCAGTTTACCTTCTACAACGGTTTCTCAGGAACATGAGTATTTCCGCATTCAGCCTTCAGCATTGCTCCAGGCCACAGCATAAGCATAAGTCTTAAGTCACAGGATCCATTTTTCAGGTCATCTGCAGATCCTAGCAAATGTCTTTCCCTCGTAGTTGTCTTATGTCTTTGGGCTTTAGTCTATCCCAGGACAAATTTGGAGAAATTACTACTTTGAGAGTCAAGAGAGCATTGGTTTGGGAGCTTTGATCCTCTTTCTGCTTCACACCAAGTGTGTCATCTTGGCTAAATCACTTGGTCTTTCTGCATTTGCTTTCTTATTGATAGGATGAGGAAATTAGATTAAATGGTTTTGAGTTCCCTTCTGGTTCTGATATGTCCAGTACTCGCTGGATAATTGGATCTATAACTGATGGATTTAGTAATCTGGTCATTTCTTGCTCTGAAAACAGTACTCAGCAAAAGAGATCATGGAAGAAATCACCGTAATGGTAGTAATAGTAACACATGACATTTGTATTGTGCCTTAGCTTTACCAGATGTTTCCAAATATATTATCATATTTGATATGTACAGGGCTAGATACCTTGGACCCTGCAACACTCAGCTTTCAAGATAAGTATTAGCTTCATTAGGATTAAAGGGACTTGAACTCAGGACTGGCAGCCTATTCTTCTTTATCCATATGCCTTTGGTAGGGCTACATCCAGATCATGCCATGGTTTCTTATAGAGCAAGAGAAAATAATATTATTTTATCTTCCTTTGCCTAACATCTTTCCACTTATTCTTTTTTAAGAATCTGCCCAAGTTCACTGAGTTATTCTATGATTCTATAATTTTAAAAAAAACATATTTAAAATGAACTCACAATGTCTGAATTTTTCTGGCCTTGAGTCATAGAAGTAATCTGTTTCAGATGGCTGCCCAATATGTATTATCATGTCATATGTACATGTATTCTTTTCTGGGGTGAGGAATGCTTCAACTTCTGGCACTGAGACCTTTGTGTTACAGACACAGGTTTAGTTTCTAGCTTAGTCATGCCTTTAGAGTTTAGTAGCACAAATCTAAGCAACCCAACAGAATACATGGTGACGGCCTAGTATGTATAGAATTTAAAAGTAGTTTAAATCTGAATTAGAAGAATGAAGCTAGGACTTATTTGGAAAAGGAAATAGAAAAAAAATGATCAAAAACAGTGGGGCCTTATTATCTTTGCAGTAAGTTATCTTCTTTATGATATATGTAAATTATTCTATGTGCAGATTATGTTTTGTGATTGTCAGATCTAAATTTATATTCTTGCTGGCTAACGTGCTGATAGCTACGTCTGAAACTTGATGTGCTATCCAGACACGTATGTGATCAGAAAACATCTAGAGCGTAAAGTGGTGCCTGAGGAGCAAAATGTGGTTTTAATGTTGTGGAAAGATCACTTGCAAGTATATAAGACTATATAACGAAGAGGATTGTACGCAAGTGGGGTGAAAGAAGAAAGGATACGTGAATGTGCATATGACTGAACAGGGAGGAAGGTCAGGGCTAGAAAGGGGGCTACATAAAAAGTGGTGATGGAGAGTGCACAGGAAAGACACAGGGAGGGTCAGGTCAAGCAAGGTAGAAACAGGGGTAGCTGGAGCCATTGGAAATCCATTTTGAAGCAAGAAGGAGCTTTGAAAGGGATTAGGTTCTTGAAGTAAAAGATAAATGTGGGTGGAGAAAGAAGAAATTCTGGATGATAGAGATGATAAAAATATTTATTAAGAAATGAAGTCAGGTTCAGTGTATGAAATGGAAGGGAGTCTTTCAGCATTTTAAGAAAGGGGAAGTTCCTCTTGGAAAAGACATAGCAACCATCAGGGAATGACCTTTTCATTTCAGAAGAAGTGGGTGAGGAAGGTGGTTTGAGCACCAGGTGTATTCTGGACCATTTCAAGTGCTAGTGAGAAAAAATCAACCCTTTCCCTGAACTGGGCTTGGTTTTCCAAGTGCTGCTTTGAAAATGAAGACCCAGAGATGGGGAGCTTATGATAGTTCATGAATCTTCACGTTCTATTATCTTTCCTCTGTCAATAAAGTTCATTTTCTATAATGCCCACCATTGCTGTGCCCAGAATAACCACAGGCAAACATCAAAACAATAGGCATAAATTAGAGAAGATTAAATTATGTCTGATATCTGCACAAACAGATATGCACCATATTGGAAACATGTGTTTTTCTAGTCCCATCCAGGCGTCCCACAAGAAAGCCATGATGTGGAGCTAAACCATATGTTTTGAGTAAAGAAGAATAGAAGGGGAGTGTCTGCCAGAGGGAAAAAGATGAAGGTGTTCCAAGGAAGTATACTAAAACAGAACAGTGTTATATTTTGCCCAAAACTACAAAATAAAAAATAATTTAAAAAAAAGAATTATAATATATGGCTACTACGTCTTTGATTATAAGTTAAATTTATAGACCTGGAATTTGCCATCCTAGTCTTTTCTTTTTAGTAAGACTTCTGTCCTCCGACAGTGCATATGGTAGGTCCCTAATGTTTCTGCATCTCCAGGAAGATGCAGATCCTTATTTTTGCTGGGAAATCCTTCTGAATAGAAATTTAACATTTTAATAGAAACAGATGAATGTGTTTTCCATGTAGTAAATGTTTTCAAGAAGTGACTTGAGAGGGAAAGAGACTGGAGTGGTTAATGGTGATTTGATTTCTGGAATTTTGAGTTTTCTGCTATAATTAGCTGTATTGCTTGGTGCCAAAGAGCAGTGGAGATTTGTTGAACTCAAAATAATTTTTTAAAAATTGTTATTTTTGAAAGAACTTGAGGCTCACAATAAGTTACCCTAGATCCATTTTCCCCCATTTATAACACTTTATTTAGTCCATTTTCAGAACCAGAAAATTAACATTGGCATAATGCTATTAAACTACAGATCTTTTTTTGATTTCACCAGTTTTTCCACACATATTCATTGAGTTGCTGGATACTTCTAATTCTTGCAATTTGTAATCTGGCCTTGCTTGGATACAACAGAAAAGACACTATTTGGATAAAATTCTACAATATTAGAACAAATTAATGTATTCCTTTATCATGAGCAATACTCTGCCTTCACTGCTTCCAAATTTTCTGATTTGTTTAACTGGCATCTGAAACAATCCAAGAAAAACTTAGGAAGATTAGGCAATACAAAAGACAGTAAAGCTTTTTCATAGCTTGTTGGCTAGAAAACCAGATACAGCAGGATATTCTAGATGCTTCCCAGAGCTTTGACAAATGAGTAGGATTAGTACTGGGGACAAGATGAGGAGTTTGGAGTAAACCAGTATTTTGGTTGCGAGTTAGTTGGCACTTAGTTAACGGCACTGGGAATAGCTTGTGGAGATAATAGAATACAATGATATAGACTCCTAATGTTTGATAAAATGCCATTTTCAGAGTGGTAGAGAGGTTTCATTTGCCTAAATAGCTGTTCTTAAATGGAATAACAACCACTTTAGACCAAAGTAATTGCAAACACAGCAGCAGCCTGGGGAGAGGTTGAAACTTCAGTTTTGTGGATTACGGTTTTGAGTTTTGTGATTGACATTTTAAAGTCCCCTATTTTAGGGGTCACAAGATTATAACAATGTGTGTCTTATTAAGTTCCTAGGTCATTGTGAGCACTTGATAAATATTTGCCGATTTTTTTTTTTTTTAATGAATATAAGATGGAAACAAAAACTTGTCATCCAGTTTACTAGAGTGAATGCAGGGAGAATAGTTTTACTGTAACATGGAGAGTTTATTTTCAAATGAAGAAAGAAAAAATGCTCAGACTTGTACCTGGTGAAGTACATTCTCCATTTGTATACTTTTTGATGGTGTAATTGATTTATAGAAAAGCTTAATTTTTTGAGGCGTTCAGACAGCAATGAAAGGTAGTTCTCCATAGGACACTGAATCAAAAGCAGAGACCAGACTCTAACCTCATAACCAGCCTATTTGAAACAAGCTATCTAGTTTCTCCTGTAGACATCTTGTCAACAACATGCAACAATGTCGGATGCCTTGCAGGAAAATGATATGACTCCCAAGCTAGCCTATGCTCATCCACAATCACAATTACATGTCAAGAAAGAATTTGCAGAGATTCAAGGGAAGCACAATGGGATAAGGTAATCACTTTCAGTGAAAAACTGTTTACTTGAAAACGAGCTTGGACACAATTGAAAGTTGGATCCCTGCAAACACACCAAGAGTTTGTAATCTAGCCTATCCATTATATGTCCTTTATTATTCATGATATCCTATTCTTCTACCTGGTTGTCTGGTGACTTTTTCTGAGGACTGAGTTTCTGCAGCAACGTGGTGGACTCTTCTTGTGATGAGGAAACCTCTGGGCCTCCTTCTGCAGGCTTTGGAAGATGATGTGTCTTGTCAAGGGGTAAAGAGCAAATGGATTTAATTTCTGCTTAAAACTATCATAGACATTCCAAATAGAATACGTAAAGAGTCTCTGTATTAGAAAAAGAAACGTGATACCAATTGTATATTTTCTTTTCTTTATTTATTCTCTGTAAGTCTGTCAGATGATAAATTGTAAATAACAATGATTAAAGAGTCATGCTACTGATGGATCTCCCTTTCTGTATAAACAGTGCGAGTTCTGGGTTTTGTAACCCTTGTCCTTTATAGTCTTACATCATTTCTAGGGAAGTGATGGGGTATGGGACAGAGCTGTGGTGTATGTGGTGTGGACACCTGTTTATGGGGCTGTCCAACAAAGGATTATTTAAATAGACCTCTAACATATGAGTTGACTGTTGACTGGGAGGAAAGCATCTTGGTCTCTGACATAGCCAAACATGTGAAACACTGGGACTTTATGTCCTCATATTAATTAGTCCGGTTCTGGGGAATTCAGTCCAGAATTAACTGGGGATTCCTTATTGTTATGGTTACAGAGTTGTCTTGTTTGATACGGAGATATTCCTTTCAAATACAAATATCGTCTCAGACTGCCCGCACATACACAAACCAATAAAAACTATGAAAACCAGCATTTAGAGTCAGTCATTATAACAAAGATTAGAATGAAATAACCTCAAACCCGTTTCTTACCTGGTGTCTGAGAATAAGTTTATGTTTTTAGTTTTCTGAGGATGTTTCTCAGAATATGTGAGTTTTCTGAGCACATTTTCCAGCACTGGGCATGGTAGATAAATCATAGGGTCAAGGTTTGGCATGGAGAGATGGGATCATTGTGTACCATATTGTTCTTCTGGTTTCCAGGAAAACAGAATGAGCCCATGAAAAATATAAACTTACGATGATTAAAAAAAACGTTCCGGCCGGGCGCGGTGGCTAAAGCCTGTAATCCCAGCACTTTGGGAGGCCGAGGCGGGTGGATCACGAGGTCGAGAGATCGAGACCATCCTGGTCAACAAGGTAAAACCCCGTCTCTACTAAAAATAAAAAAAATTAGCTGGGCATGGTGGTGTGTGCCTGTAATCCCAGCTACTCAGGAGGCTGAGACAGGAGAATTGCTTGAACCCAGGAGGCGGAGGTTGCGGTGAGCCGAGATCGCGCCATTGCACTCCAGCCTGGGTAACAAGAGTGAAACTCCGTCTCCAAAAAAAAAAAAAAAAAAAACGTTCCTACCCATTCACTCATCAATAAAAATATATTATGATGGTTATCAAGCTATGTCCTATGTGTGATAAAATACTTGTAAAAAGAAAATTAAATGGCGTCAGTTGTGAAGAGAACTGTATTGTAGTCTGAGCATCTCTAGCAGTTCAGCCCATCTTTCAAAGGTCATAACATCTTGAAAGCAACAACTTTAGTGGAAAAAAAGGAAGAAGAGAGCGGTTTCATCACTTGGCTTGAATAAAAATCATGGAGAAAGAAAAGACTGCTGGCCTTGCTCTGAAGTTGTCTGGACTTCACTTAATTCAGTCTCTATTAGGCTGGCGTGCATCCTGAGACTGCAATAATGCTCAGTCTCCACAGCCCAGGCCCTCCTGCTTTCTTTATAGAAATGAGTTTTTTATGGGACAGCCACACAACCAGGTCTCTCTCTTCTTAATCCTCATCACCTCTGAGCTCTAGGACATTTTAAATGAGGACTTTGGGTCTAGACTCTCATGATTAGGCTTAATTTTACTCCATGACCTTCACAAAACATTGTTAAATTGTGATCTCTTTAGAACAGTGGAAAGTGGGATAAACGTAGGAGCCGTGTTCCACCCCCACAATAAAGAAGTTTTATTTAGGAATCTAATATTCTAATAACCAGATTTGTTCTTTCAATCTAATTTTCTTGATATAAGATAAATGATTACTAAGCTGCTATCATTAATCAAAACCTCTAGGATCAAAAGCCAATATAAATTATCTCAGTGTTTTGGGGATCATTGCTGTTCATAAATAATTAAAACATTGAAAGAGGTCTTTAAATAGATTAAAGTATATTCAGCAGAGTTTGATGTATGATGCAGTTTTATCCTGTGTGAGCTGGGGCTGGTTACGGTCCCATTACCAGTCTACTACAATACAGAAACCTAGTGTAAGCATTAGAAACTTTTATAGCAGTTTTGTCACTGGGGAGAGGTCCTTGAATGTTTGTTGTTCAGGCTCTTGGCATTTGGAACGAAAAATTGGACAAAATGCACAAAGTAACAAAGGAACAAAGCGAAAGCAACAGCAGGGATTTATTTATTTATTTATTTTGAGATGCAGTTTCGCTCTTATTACCCAGGCTGGAGTGCAATGGCACGATCTCGGCTCACCGCAACCTCCACCTCCTGGGTTCAAGCAGTTCTCCTGCCTCAGCCTCCTGAGTAGCTGGGACTACAGGCACGCGCCACCATTTGCAGCTAATTTTTGTATTTTTAGTAGAGACGGGGTTTCACCTTGTTGACCAGGATGGTCTCGATCATTTGACCTCGTGATCCACCCGCCTCAGCCTCCCAAAGTGCTGGGATTACAGGCGTGAACCACCGCGCCCAGCAATAGCAAGGATTTATTAAACTGAGAATGCATTCCAAAGGTGGGAGTGGGCCTGAGCAAGTGGCTCAAGGGCCCAATTACAGAGTTTTCTGGTTTTTAAGTAGTCCTTTTGAGGTCCCAATGGGCTACCCTTTATCTGGATGAAGGATTTGTTCCATGGCTAAGTAAAGGCTGAGGTGAATTTGTGTTCTACGCAGATGAAGGCATGGCCCATGCTTCGTGCTTGCCCACAGCCAATCCAAGATACTTTCTCTTTCCATCTGAGACCTCGTAGAGGTGTGGCAGGCCAGGTGTCACAACTGTTTCAGTACTACGTGGTTAAATTAAATATTAAAAGCCAGTGCCTTTATACAAAGTCTGGGACCTAACAAAAACCCATTAAGAGTTTTGTCTAGGCCTTTCCTGGGCCTTAAAGTATGACAAAATAACCAGGGAACTCTTAATAGGACCCCTTTAGGATTAAACAAGTTTTATTGTGTATCTGAAGAAACTCCCCAGGCGTCCACAAACAAGTTTATTGGGGGTCTAAAGGAACTCCTCAAACCTCCAGTGTCTTAGCAAGAGACAAGATAAGGGTAATCACCCCAGCATCTGGATCCATTTAGAGCAAGCAAATTTACTGAGGCTCCAGAGGAAGGTTCTCAGGACTCAGATCTTAGTATAGATTAAAAGAAGTTAATCACTTACGTCTTTAGATGAATGCACACTTACACATAGACATACAGCTTAGAAGGTATATAAGCTCTGAAAAATTTTGTAATTTTGAGTTGGTCTGGTGATAATTTCCAGGCTTTCTTCCTGTAACCAGTTACAAAAATAACTCTCTGCCTCCCCGGTTCATCTGCATCTAGTTATTGGGCCTCAAAAAATAGCAGCCCAACCCTCAGTTTGGTCTGGGAGCAGAAGTGGGAGAGTTGTAGGGAGAGCAGCCTTTGAGACTTTGCTACTGGGGCGTGGGGAGATGGGGTTTTTCCTTCTGGCTTAGGAAGTTGGTGTTAATTGGCCCTAAGTTCTCTGCCCCCAGACCCAGGTGTTTTCCTTTTGATCCAGCTTTGGGAAGCCAGCATGAACCGTCCTCAAATTGCCTACTCCCAGACCTCCCTGTTTTTCCTTGATTCAGCTTTAAGAAGTCGGCACGAATTGGCCTTAAGATCCCTGCCTCCAAACCCTATTCTCCTGCCTCATTTTGGCAGAGTACTTTAGAGTACTTTCATGTGTGTTGAAAATCGGGGCTTGTTTTGTATACCTTTTGCTTTTCTTTTTCTAGTACTTTTTTTTCTTTTTGTATTTTCTAAAAGCACTCATTTAGGATGGCTTGGAAACACAGACAGGTCATTTAGCACAGTTTGAGATGCACTGGCATAGGAGGTTACAGCACATTCTCAGTACTTCTGAGAATGAGTTTCTGAGATTCTGATTCCCCTCCACATTTTAAGTTTTGAATACCAGTAATTTACGCATGATTCTACATCAAGTTCTTAATAAAATCAGTGCTCATTTTCCCAATTAAGTTTCTTTAGAGGAGGAGGTCTGGGATCAGAAGTTGGGCTTTCAAGTGGCACAATGCCTGGATCTACGCATCCAAAAAGGAATGGAAAATTTAGACAGTAACCCCCCAACTTTAGCTTCTAGACCCAAACCTTTCCTCTAAAATGGGCACTGGTGCAAATACCCTGAGACCTTTCTGTCAAGAAGGGCCAATCTCAGGCGCCAGGGCACAGACTCTCCCTCGTGCGTACAGCAGCTGCAATCCCGAGCGCTAGCCTGGGGGTGTCGCCCCCACCGAGATGAAGGTAAGGAACCACTGAGTCCTAGAGCGCCGCGGCGGAGCGAGGAGAGCCTGGATTGGCTCGGGCTCCGGCGTCACGCAGCTCCGCCCCTCGGCCTATCTCACCCCACCCCACCTCCGAGGTCAGGGAGCGGTTGGAGGACTGGGATTGGAGGGATCCGCGCAGACTCGATGATGCAGCGGGAGGGGGAGGGGCGTGGCCTACTCTGATTGGTTACGGGAGAGGTGGACCGGGCTGGGCCGAAATCTTAGGACTTCCGCAAGCCGCGGCGGCGTCTGTTTCAGTGCCTGGGAGTGTGCGGGTGCGGAGATGCGAAAGGTGGTATTGATCACCGGGGCGAGCAGGTGAGGCCTCCTTTGGGTTGGCAGAGGCGGCAACGAATCAGGGGTTCGAGAGAGGAGGGGTCTGCGACCCTCCACGGGCCGACCCCGGGTAGCGCCCGCCCCTGACTCTGCCTAGGTTCCTCGGAGTCCCGCATGGCTGGAGGTGTGGGGCGTGCCGGCCTCTTGGGGTGCTCAGTCACTGGGGCTGTGAATTAAACATGGCAGTGAAAAGGAAAACCAGAGCGTCAGTAAGTGACGATGGTCACGGTGATAATCCTGAGGTTATCAAGGGAATAGGGGACTCACGCGGGCCCCTTCCCCATCTTGGAGCTTTTTTCGTGCTTATCGTCTGTGCCCAACATTTTGCTCCTAACTACGTGGTCATGTCTTAAACTCCAGGTATTTTGTCTGTACAAGCCTTTTGCCTACAAATTTGAACACCCATGAACATTAGGACGGTGGGGAAAAACAATCCCTTTCCATTTAGCTCAGTGCTAGAGACCTAACATGCTTTTCAGAAACCCAGAGAAAATTAACCTTTTCCTATGAAGGCATGGTTGGGGCGCAGAATAACCAGCTCATAATTATTCCAGGGTTGCTCATTCAGTTTCTCAGCCTCTTCTGCTGCCTGTTTTACCTCTCATTTGCACTTCCATGAAGAATGTGTAGAAGGTGAAGCCAGTCAAACCATTTTCCTACAAGTTGCATTTGGCAGTTTTGATTAAGACAGAGGACATGTTAAACGTTTAAGATTGGTCCACTTTCAGTTATTTAACCACATGCATATTAACTAAGCCAGCTTGATAAGTGTTGCAGTTGGCAACTTTTTAGCTTGTCCTCTCAGGTGACTTTAACAATTGATTGGTGCTTCTTATGTGGCAGTTACTGAAATAAATCAGAATTGATTTTGTCTGTTTCTTTTACATATATTGTGATATGTGCAATTGTATATTAAATGCTTACTGTTTTCATGTGAGGACAAATAAATATTTTTGATGGTTTAATGTCAGTGCTAACAGATTACTGATTGTTCCAGGCTCTTTTTTTGGGATTTAACTATTAATATATTTGCCTGGAATCAGCTTAAGTCTTGAAAGAGAACTTATGACCCGGCTTTTCATTGCTGTCAGCCAGGCTGGTCTGTCTCCGGTCGCCACTCCTACACGGTTTTGCAATACTGGTTTTGAAGTTCTTTGTCTCAGAGTGGTGTACTCATCTCTGCCTCCCTTTCTTGGTCCTCACCTAATATTTAGTGTATTCCTACCTTCTACTTAATCATAGTTTTTTTTTTTTTTCTATTATTCAATTATAGTTGTTTAGAAGGATGTGACTGATGCCTGATTCTGAAGGATTCATCTGTTCCTTCATCATAGATTTCTGGTGTTCCTTACGGTGGCTATGATAACCAACAGGTGCTAGAGCCCTTGCCCATGAGGAGCCTAGATAGCAATGTAAAAATGCACATAGGAAACAGCTAATAAGATGCTCTTTTCAGCCCTCACTGGTGATATATTAAATCATTTTCACGAGTGCATTAATAAATACAAAATGAAAACCACTGGCAGGATAAGGCCCAGTAATAGAAAGGCTAAAGAACAACTCTTGTTTTAAGTCCAGTTATTGTGTCGTTGAAGTTTTCCAAAATGAGAAAAACACAAACTAGACTGCATCTCAAACAAGTGACTATTAGAGTGGAGGATTCCTCCTTTCTTAAATAATGATTGAGGCTTTTCTATCTGGGCTTCTCATTGGAGGTCAAGTTGATACCGTTTTCTGAACCGGAGAGAAATGCCTCTACTTGATGCCATCCCAGATAATCCACATCTTGTGTCTGAATTGTCCTCCCAGTGGCATTGGCCTGGCCCTCTGCAAGCGGTTGCTGCTGGAAGATGATGAGCTTCATCTGTGTTTGGCGTGTAGGAACATGAGCAAGGCAGAAGCTGTCCGTGCTGCTCTGCTGGCTTCTCACCCCACTGCCGAGGTCACCGTTGTCCAGGTGGATGTCAGCAACCTGCAGTCTGTCTTCCAGGCCTCTAAGGAACTTAAGCAAAGGTATATCTCTTGCTGATGAATTTTTTTTCTCTTATGTGATTGTGTAGCATAAACTTAATAAGAAAGAAAAGAAAAACCTAAAGAGAAACCAGATGCAGTTTAAGCCATTATCTGAGGAGATCTGTACAGAGTGACCCATTGTGCCTCAGTACCACATTTTCATTCTTAACCATGATCGTAATTATTTCATGGAGACTAAGTACATTCTGGTATGTGATCAGTTGCACTGCCTTATGTTAAGGTAACTCCTTTGACATTTCAATTCATTTTTTACATCTTTCCTTCACATGATGAATTCATTAAGTAGATAGGCAAGTAGTGATATTTAACAATTGAGAAAACTGAAACACAGAAATAAGGGTAATGTGCCTACGAAGATCATCCAATCTTAATTGGGTGGGACCAAGACCCCAGGTCTTCTCCCTGCTTCCTAAGGGGTATTTTTTTCTCTAGGCCAATAAAAATTTGTTCACACCTTCACAGTAATTGGCATGCAATAGACGTTTGATCAATATTTGGTATATGAAGGAATAGAGTTGTCAGTTGTATAACTCCCCTGAAAGTGAACACAAAATTGCATGTAGGTGTACAATGCATTATTTGGGGAGAGAGGGCTTTTTATTTATTTGTTTGTTTTTAAATTGTAAGAGGAATTTATGATGAAAAAAGGCCAAGAACCCTGTACTAGTTTCTGCTGCCCTAGGGCTATCTGGAATAATTAATTTTCAAATATATTCGTGTTGAGGCACTTAAGAAACAAAGAATTACCTTGTTTCCTTGGACAGTAAAATGAAGTGTGTAGAAACAAAGGAAGGCCTTCTTGATGAAGACATTTGCTGAAGAAAGATACTTCGTATTTTATCTGCATTGATAATCATTTGCGTTTAGCTTTTCCAAATGCCAAGATTACTAAGTGAAAGCTCGTTTTCTTTACTCCGGCTCTTTTTGCTGTGGCCTTAGTCCTTTGTAAATGTGGCTTCTGGCATGGCTCGGTGGCTCACACCTGTAACCCTAGTACTTTGGGAGACCGAGGCAGGTGGATCACAAGGTCAGGAGAGCAAGACCATCCTGGCTCATGAGGTGAAACCCCATCTCTACTAAAAATACAAAAAATTAGCCAGGCATGGTGGCACGTGCCTGTAGTCCCAGCTACTTGGGAGGCTGAGGCAGGAGAATTGCTTGAACCTGGGAGGTGGAGGTTGCAGTGAGCCGAGATCACACCCCACTGCACTCCAGCCTGCTGACAGAGCAACTCCGCCTCAAACAAACAAACAAACAAAAAATGTGGCTTCTCTCTTCACCACTGCTGAGCTCTTAGAGTTTTCTGCCACATCCTTTTTAAAAAAAACCTGAGGAGATTTCCTAAGTTCTGTTTTCACATAAATTGTGATCTATTCCACATCCCTTACTCCTCCATAACTTAAGAGTCTCCAGGGCTGTGAAGCTGTATACTAAACGTCCTTATGGAGATAAAAACCGTAAAGTTGAGAGAAGTTATGAGCTTCTAATCAGGTTTTTAGGTATCCTTTTCCCAAACCTTAGCCAGCTGGCTTCTTAACTCCTTAGTTTAGATTTTGTTATATTTTCTTATTTGGCAGAAAAGAACCTTCATTTCCCAGTTAATAATAGTCCATTCTAATGCAGTTTACTTTTGAGACTTAAAGTTTTAACATTGATAGTACTGACTGTCCCAAATGCCTCCCAAGGTTCAAGATATTTGGTACTTTATCACAAGTTTAGTAATATTGTGTTTAGTAAGATATTTAGCAACTTAGCACAGATTCAAGGCAGTTACACTGTGGAGCAGAAGGGATCAGGTGATAAGTGAGTTGTCCCAGGTGCCTGTCATTAGCATTTTACTGAAGTTTTGAGGTATTTATTTAATTCACAAAACAGCCTTTTTGTTTTGAGATGATCGGTGTTACTCAGATTTAGGAAATGATGGTTTTAGTGATATTCACAAATTTGTACTATATGAAAGTGTCCAGATAGATGCTTGCTATGTCAAGGCTCTGCTACACTCAGTGGCTCAAATGGATTTCTTCAGTTCTAAGTCTGAAGTAAACTAGAGCTAAAGAGAGCTTGAGAATTCCTTCTGACTCCAGCAACAGCATCCCTGACACCTGGTCTTTCCATCTGTAGCCCTCTCTTCTGTTAGGTATGTGCAGTTGAAAACTAGTAAGAAATAGTGATTCTGTTTTGTCCATAATAGAGAGATTCTGTCAGTTATTTTATTGATGAATGGTATGTCATTTTACTGAAGCCAGAACTTAATTTGGTGTCTTTACTAAACATTTCTTCTTTGTTCCTATTCAAATATGTGAATATTCTTAGATATAAGTTTGCAAATAAGATAATGGAACAAGCAACAGTAGATGAACTCACACTATCTTTGTGGCAGTTATATGATGAACTAATAGTAACAATATCAGCATTTTATTAAATGGTCAATTTAATAACTTGAGACATTTGTCAGTTATTTATAGAATGATCATGAAATGGTTGTATGTGATCTGTATTGAAAACCGTGTATGTATTTCAGGGTCCTGACTTCAGGAGCTATGGCTCTTAATGTCGGGTTATTCCGAGACAGTGTGGTACATAGAACTCTAGAAGATATTCTGAACATTTAATGGTGTCCTTGAGTATCATGAGAGCAGGCTTTACCTGTTTTGAACCTAGTTCAAAATGAGTACACTTAGATGAAGACTTATATAGGTTTAAAACTGAAAATGCTTTTTCATCTCAGCATTTCATGTCCTTTCCATGACAAGTATCCAGGAGGAAGCCCAGCAAGAATACCTTACTCCCATTCATCTTTTATAATGTCATTGTATTCTCAATGAACTTTCATCATTTTATGATACATAGGACTTGTCAATTAACACTGAAAGGTTTCCACATGGATCTTTTGTTTTATTATATATTTTGGCATTCAGATTTCAGCATTAATAGGTCAGGTCAGGTGAATATCAGTATTATATAAATTTTACTTGTCAACTAGAGGAGATGTGGATTTTTTTTTTTTTTTTTTTTTTTTTAAAGCAAGACACTTTGTAAGATGAGGAAAGTGGGTTTAATAGGTAGAGGGTTGCCGCAATGCCTTACTGGGAGGATAGAGCTGGAAGGAATTGTTGGTCAGAGGTTTTGCTTCAAGTCCATGATGACTCCACAGATTGTTTAAAGCCACTACCAAAAAAAGAATTCTCAAATATTTACTGTGGTTAAAGAATAACTGTTAAGAAAGAAATGCTGTAACTCTAATGTACTATAAATTCTTTTGAGCTTGCTGTGGCTAATTTATTAATTTTAAAAGTATTTTTTGTCTTTTTTGGGCCTTCTTGATTCTAGTCACTCTAGAGATAAAATATACAGTCTTGTCTTGATGTTTTTACTTGTGACTCACAATCTTGTCTTGCTGTTTACCTGCAGGTTTCAGAGATTAGACTATATATATCTAAATGCTGGGATCATGCCTAATCCACACCTAAATATCAAAGCACTTTTCTCTGGGCTCTTTTCAAGGTAATTTCCATTTTATGGATGAAGTGATTGAAAGGAATGTGTTCATTTTTCTGCCTAGTTTTGCTGGTGTGTTAAGTTGGAGGGATCAAAGGTCAGAGGGTATTGAAAAGGTTGAAGACAGAAAAAGAAGGTGTTGCAACCATATCGTCAAAGAAAAGCAATCCTCTTTTGTGGAGATTGCTGAAAGTCCTGCTTTTTATGGTATTCTAAGTCTCCAGGACATTCTAAGTGCTTGGATGGTTTAGAAGGTCCATTTTTGGTCTACCTGGATATGCCTATTAGCAAGAACATTTTGAAATTAGGCAGAGTTCTGGATTTCTCAGAGAGACTCCAATTTCCAGGAAAGCTACTTTGACCTGTTTCCCAGCTTATGTCAGGTGCTCTGGCCAGTAGGTTGGGGAAATGCAGAGAACTAATGTCTTTCTGGGAGATTCTCATTACACATTAGTGTAGTGGCTTTCAAAACTGTTAAAACACAACCAGAGAATTCTTATTTATAGAAATAAATCTTATTTTGTGACCCAACAAACTTACTCATAAATTTGCATTCTTATTGTGTGCTAATCACTATACTAATACTTCTGCTTTACTTCTTTTCCATTGAAAGTCTCTCTCTCTCTGCATTGGTCTTGACCTACTAAATTGACCTCACAGCAGAACAACTTACTAATATGTTTGAAGAATTCCCAGTTAAAAAACAACCTGTGGCAATTAAACATACTTTGTGCACAGGAAGACTTTTTCCCTTTGGCATAGCTTATTATTCCTTTAGAACACTTTACCTATAACCTGATTTGGAAAGAGATGAATAGAGTTTTAGCAGCAGGTTTTTGAGAGACTCAAGTTCCTATTGGTAGTGTGAGCTATAAGTATGTAAATACTTCTGTGAATTAGTGAGGGGAAGGAGGGACTTTGGTATTTCATTTAATACAGTAGCCCAGTCTGAGAAATAGATACTTTTTATTTGTGTCATTACAGCATCAAGGGAGGTGCAGTTTATGAGTGATGGAGATGGGTTGGAAAATATCTCCAGTTAAAGAAGCTTTAAAAGTCATACAATTTTCTTCTGCTATTTCAGAAATGTGATTCATATGTTCTCCACAGCTGAAGGCCTGCTGACCCAGGATGATAAGATCACTGCTGATGGACTTCAGGAGGTGTTCGAGACCAATGTCTTCGGCCATTTTATCCTGGTAAAGAAGCTATGGGCTTAGTAAGCTAATATTTGGTGTGATAATTTCTGTAAAGCTCTGGGCACAGTGTATTATTATGGTTGAGGAACGAGTTAACTGATTTAATCTCATGTTTGAGTTTTCTTGGTTGCATTTGGCTTGTTTATTGTAAGCATGGGGCACATCTGGAAGCTTTCCTAGTAGATTTTTGTTTAATAAATGTACTAATAGTTTTTGATTTGCAGAATTACTGCAAAGATAGTACAGAGAATTTCTGTATATCCTACACCCAGTTTCCCCCACTGTAAACATTTTGATTTAGTATGATGTATTTGTCAAAATAGATGAATCCGTTCTGCCACATTATTAACTAAAGTACATACTTTATTTGGGTTCTGTTTTTGCCTAATGTCTTTTTTCAGTTCTAGGATCCTATTCAAGATAACTACATTGACATTTAGCAGTCATGTCTCCTTAGACTCTTTTTGGTTATGACAGCTTCTCAGACTTTCCTTGTTTTTGATGACCTTGACAGTTTTGAGGAGTACTGCTCAAGTGCTTTGTAGACTCTCTCATTTGGACTTTGTCTGATGGTTTTCTCATAGTGAGATTGAAGAATGTGGTTTTTAGGAAAAAGGCCAGAGAGGTAAAGTGACATTCTCATGATATCATATCAAGGATGTATTCTATCAGTATGACTTCTTATTGTCAATATGAACCCTGATCACCTGGCTTGAGGTAATGTTGGTCAGGTTTCTCCATTGTTAAGTTACTTTTCCTTTCTCCCTTTTCATACTCCGCCCTTGGAAAGAAAGTTACTATGTGTAGCTAATGCATACTGGATAGTGCTCTACCTCCTTAAGAGTGGATTAACCACAGAAATTATCTGGATTTTTTTCTGCATGGAGATTTATCTGTTCTCCTTCCTTTATGTCTTTATTCAATCATTTATTATATCCATAAGGACTCATGGATATGTATTTTTTGTACTTTGAAGTTATAAATACTGTTTTATTTTCTTGCTCACATTTTTCCAGTTTTGGTCTCTTGTAGCTCTTTCAGTTGGCTCCTATATCTCTTTGGCACACCTCCATCATTATGGGTTTCTGTTTTTGTTTTAGCTTTCATTTTGAGCAGTGTTTTACTATCTGGCACTGTAAGATGCTTCAGACTCATCTTTTGTATTTTTTTCTTCAGTCCTAGAATCAGCTACTTTTCTAAAGACATTCATTTCCTTTATCAGAGAATGGTTATTAGAAACCAAGATCTGGGTGCTTATTGTTACTGAGATATCAGTGTCTTGTAAACCCTCTCAGGTAGTAGACCAAGGATGTATATATGTGCATACTAACTCGTGCATGTATACATATCTGTAAATATTTTTATACATAACTCATTCATGTATCTTTTAGATAACTAGTTGATACTGATGTCTCTGACCCTAGTCTAGTGTCTTACTATATAGATCATTCTAGCTTCCTCCCCATGCTTATTTGTGGTGTCCCACTTCAACAGTGACAAACCTGATTCCCACCATCCTCCATCCATTTCCTTAATTCTTCAATTTCAGTATCGATGGACAGTGGTTTCAAAATTGTTATCTGTAGTCTGCCAGTATATTTTAATACTTTTTTTTTCTTTCACCCAGATTCGGGAACTGGAGCCTCTCGTCTGTCACAGTGACAATCCATCTCAGCTCATCTGGACATCATCTCGCAATGCAAGGAAATCTAATTTCAGCCTCGAAGACTTCCAGCACAGCAAAGGCAAGGAACCCTACAGCTCTTCCAAATATGCCACTGACCTTCTCAGTGTGGCTTTGAACAGGAACTTCAACCAGCGGGTAAGGCCTGTCCCAGTGATATGGAAATGGCAGAGGAGGGTTCTCTTAATTGCCTACTGTTGATTTCCTAGTAAGGTAACTGGCTTTCCACTAACTCTTGTAGTTTAGATTGATAGTTGGTATATATGAAAGTTTTAGGGTGGAGGTAATCAGCTCCTGACATTTTAGTTATAGGTAGTTCATTCATCACTCTGTGGTTCTTCAGGAATTCTCACTTATGTTAACAGAGTGACACTACTAAAAGTAATAGCTACTGTTTCGGTACTTGCTGTGTTTCAGGTGCTGTATTCATCTGTGTATGTCATTATATACCTGCCTTATTACATGGAAGTGGGTCTGAGTATTCCCATTTTCAGATTAGGACACTAAATCTCGGAGAATTTAGGTTGCTTATCCGATGATCACACAACTTGTGAATGGTAGAACTCAGAATTGAGCCCAAGGCTGTCTGACTTTACAGCCTGGACTTTTCCCACTACACCATGCTGCCTCCTAGTGTTTGTCATAGCAGATGTTTATAGGACAGTCAAGTCGTTATAAAACCTTCTGGGTAGTGGTTTTAGGTGAGACTCCAGAGCTCTGTCTCTATGAGGATCTCCATTTATAGGATATTTTTTAGGGGACAGTGACCCTTGTTGGTCATACTGGGTCCTTGTGGCCACTGTGGTCTGCAGCTTACTGCTTCTTTATATGTCTGTTGCCCAGATCTAAATTCTTACCTGAAAATCTCCAGTCTTCCCTCTGGACATTTTGTTTTGTTTGCTTTGATTAACAGTGTTGTATGAGCTATGGAGAAGTTTAATTTCACTAACATTTATAAAAGACCTGTCATGTTTAGGGCACTGGGCCAGGCTTAGGGTTGAGGAAGAAAGTGAAAAAAAGATGATCAAGAGTTGTGTCTTCCCTCAAGGGAGCTTCTTGTATCATGAATTAGACATAGAAATATAAGCCTTATGCGATGGTCAGGACTTGGCTTATTCTGGAATGGCTGCCTTTCTCAGGTGGTATTCTGTGATCTGGCCCTTAAGAATCTTGCCTCCTCCCCCCTCCTTTTTTTTGAGACAGGGTGTTATTCTTTTCCCCAGGCTTGAGTGCAGTGGCACAATCTTGGCTCACTGCAACCTCCATCTTCTGAGTTCAAGCGATTCTTGTGCTTCAGCTTCCTGAGTAGCTGGGATTACAGACATGTACCACCCCACCCAACTTTTGTATTTTTAGTAGAGACAGGATTTTACCATGTTGGCCAGGCTAGTCTCAAACTCCTGGCCTCAGGTATTCACCTGCCTCAGCCTTCCAAAGTGCTGGGATTACAGTGCCCGCACCCAATCTGATTAATGCCTCTTATAAAATTGAAGCTAAGAGCATACTTTCTAGAACTGGATTTGAATCCAGACTCTGTCACTAGCTTTGTCACCCTAGGCATAGTATTTAATCTCCCTATGCCTCAGTTTCTTCATCTGGAAAATAAGGATAGTAATAGTGCCTGCCTCACAGATTTATTGGGAAGATTGAGGGGATCTGTATGAAACAGTCACAGCAGTGCTTTGTATTCAGAATGTGAGTTTGTGTGTGCATGTGTCTGCACAAATACGTACATGTGGAGGTGCATGAGTGTGGGTATGCGTGTGCCTGCCCATGCGTAGGGGTTTCATATGTACATATGTGGGTTTTGTGAGTGTGTGCAGATGTGTTTGTGAGTGTATGTGTGGGATGTGCGCATGTGTGTAGGTGTCTGTGCATGTGGTCTGCACATAGCTGTGCATGTTCTTGTATTGGCTGTTATTGTTGCAGATGGGACTCAGCATGTTGGCCCAATCGTGCACCTCCTTCTGAAGTTTCTTGAGATGTTTAAAAACTTGTCACAACTGCTTCCCAGTACTCTGAGAACTTCTTTTTAGAGGAATTAGCTTTCCCTTTCGTAAAAAGCTCTGGGATTCTATTTAAGTCTCAATTATTAAGGTTTGGGATTTTACCTTTTACAAAAGAGATTTAGCTATTGCCTATAAAATCTGTTGGGATTGGTTCTCAGCCAATGACTTTTTCTCCTTGGCCTTTAAGAGGAAAGAAGCAGCTGAGTAGAATGACATGAGGGGATTCCTTTTGAAGCCCTGTGTTACTGCAAATGTTGTCAGGTTCTATACAGGCTGCCTAATAGACTTTATCATCCATGCGTGCTCCCCCACTCAAGCTGTATGGGAATACTCAGGATCATCACAATTGAATCCCTATGATTCAACAAATAGAAGGAGACAGTCTTGGTTAAGATTTTTTTGTTTCTTTCTCAACATCAGAAAATTATATATGTTGGAAACCTTGGATTTTAGTTTGAAGATGTCTTCATTTAGGACAGAATAGTCCCCAACTCTTCCTAGGTAGTTCCTACAATAAGACATTTTCCTTAGCTGTTTTGGGGGCAGAGTATGTTATTTTCTTGGGAAAAACAAGTCTCAGCTCTTGACTTTTTTCTGGAGTATTGTTTGTAAATCGAGGGGATTCTCAGAGGATGGTTGATCCATGTTAGGTGATGCCAAGCCTCTCCAGCAGCAAACAAAGGAGGAAAAGCCTCCAGGTTCTATTACCCAGGGCGTGTCTGTCCATTGAACTGTTACACTGGCACTTCCTATATTTTTATTTAAAAGAAAAAATGAGATTAAAAATGATAAAAGTGGCCGGGTGTGGTGGCTCAAGCCTGTAATCCCAGCACTTTGGGAGGCCGAGGCAGGTGGATCACGAGGTCAAGAGATGGAGACCATCCTGGTCAACATGGTGAAACCCCGTCTCTACTAAAAATACAAAAAAATTAGCTGGGCATGGTGTCGCGTGCCTGTAATCCTAGCTACTCAGGAGGCTGAGGCAGGAGAATTGCCTGAACCCAGGAGGCAGAGGTTGCGGTGAGCCGAGATCGTGCCACTGCACTCCAGCTTGGGTAACAAGAGCAAAACTCCGTCTCAAAAAAAAAAAAAAAAGATAAAAGTGGGTTAAAATAGTCAATATCAAAATAAGGTAAGATGTGTAGTATAAATTAAACTAAAATAGTAAAACAAATCCCAGCATTCCAGGGCTTAACTATATAGATCACGTAGGACCCTTTATATTAGCATAAGCTCTATGTTATTAGGGCTCTCTTTATAAGATGGAACTTTCTAAAATAAGTACTGGGCTAAGGACCTGATTTAGAGATCTTCAGTTGGAGAAAGTTTTGTGACAGCACATATATCCTGATACCAGGAGCTCCCACCTCAAGCTAGAGGTATGGATCTTATGTACTTGCAGGGAAACAGACACAAACTAGGTTTAGCTGTCTATCTATTAGGCCAGAAACTCCTTGAAGGCAAGCACTGTACTCAGTACATCTTTTTATCTTAAATGCTCATTATGATTGAAAAGCTGATCTTCAGTTAAGCCAATAATAAGGAATACTCAGATAACTAGGCCCTACTGTTCTCTCCCAGCTTTAAGATTGGTTGTTTTTTGGCCGGGTGTGGTGGCTCAAGCCTATAGTCCCAGCACTTTGGGAGGCTGAGGCTGGCGGGTCACAAGGTCAGGAGTTTGCGATCAGACTGGCCAATGTGGTGAAACTCTGTCTCTATTAAAAATACGTAAATTAGCCAGGCGTGGTGGTGGGAGCCTGAGGCAGGAGAATCGCTTGAACTTGGGAAAAGGAGGTTGCGGTGAGCTAAGATTGTGCCACTGCACTCCAGCCTGGGTGACAAAGTAAGGCTTCATCTAAAAAAAAAAAAAAAAAAGGTTATTTTTTTATACTGCAAGTTTCAAGAGAATAGAGACTTTGTCCTACTAATTTTTTCATCCTGGGTGCCTCTTACAGTGGGTTCTCTTAATACATGATTCTTCAACATAAATGTGTTACCCAACTTCAGCAACAACTCAGAGCATAAATTCTTTTTATTACCTGACTCCCTGGCTCACGTGCATACCACTTTTATTAACTACCACATAACTGGACTGAGTCAACATACATTGAGTTAAAATCTTATTGCTACCCATCTCTTTTCCTAGGGTCTCTATTCCAGTGTGGTGTGTCCAGGTACAGCGTTGACCAATTTGACGTATGGAGTTGTGTCTCCCTTCATATGGATGCTGTTTATGCCAGCAATATTGCTGGTAAGTGATGAATACATCTTTTCTTAGCTTATGAAATCTCTTTTTGGGACCTAGTAGATGTGTCTCAGCGTTGGGAAATGATGTAGGGAACTGAACCTGAATGCCATTTAACTTGAGGTTTTTGAACTTAATTAATGTGAAACCTCTGCTTAATATTTCTTAAGTATTACTTCTGTGCCGCCATTTGAGTGTGCACTTCTCTTTAAAGGAATGTTTCATTGCTCATGCACCACATCCCAAGAGTTCTGTAATCATATAATTTTAGAAAACCCATGTTAAACATTGTTAAACTGGACTTGTTTTTAAACAACTTGTCCTTCTGAGTTTTTGACGTGGTCGTGTGCATTAAAAGTTCCCAAGAAGGGGATAATTGTCCATTATGAACCATGTTTTTGTTTCATGATTTGTACATCTGGCAGGACCATTGTTCCTCCGGCACACGTTGAAAAAAACTACTTTTAGGAAATGATTCTACCTTCAGGGCTCAGGAAGAAATGTCTCTCCTTCAGGGTAGGCATCAAGAAAAGATCAGAAGTATATAGGCCTTCATGTTAAAAGTAGTTGATTTGGAGTAATGGAGATTAAGTGATAGATCTTTTTTTGACTTCTTTATTTTTTGTCACTTAAAAAATGTTTTGTAATCAGAAAGGGAGGTTTTCTTTTTTAGCATTTAAATGAATAATTCTTTTGTGACTCTGTTCTAAACATCACAAAATAACTGTTGTTTTCTTTTCTGCAGATTCGCTTTTTTGCAAATGCATTCACTTTGACACCATACAATGGAACAGAAGCACTGGTATGTTACTGAAGTTTTTCAGCTTATATGACGGCTTAGCAGATGTGAATTGTAGGTTCACTGGTAGTAGAAATAATTTTGACAGAAAAGATAATAAGAGAATAAGCTCTGTGAATAATCAAGGTCCTGTTTGGAACTAAAGCAGACTTTAAGGCTAAGCGCAAAACATTAGGAGTGAAGTTTGTGAGTGTAACATCTACCATGGCACTGGGCACCATGACTACAGGGAAAGCACTTCTTTAGAGGCAAGATACACCAGCAGCTGGAGGAGAGACAGAGCAGTGGGACACAGGAGGGGCAGGCAAAGCGGGCCGGTGACTGCGCAATCAGTCCATGATTTCCCGTGGAGAAAGTGCATCTTGTGGGTCAAGAGCCAGGATAACAAAGTTCAATGCCACTCCCCTCTATGAAGATTTTCTTCCCTCTCTTAGAGGATCGAGTTGTTATTTTATTAGGAAGCCAGTGGATTTCCTTAAATCTCACATGGCAAATGGATTGCATGTGTTTCCTCATCAGTAGCAGATGTTACTAATGGGCTATAATACTTCCTTCTGCTTTACACAAGTGATGTCTCTGAAGATTCTTCAACCCAGAGCTCCAGAGGCAGCCTCTACTGATGGATCAGAATTGTCCTGCATAAAAAACACACTGTATCTGAGTCCGTTCTTTATGTTTGCCTCTCTCATTCTTTTGAGCTCCTTCAGGATTTTTGTTACTCACTTTGGAAACCTCAGGGCCTAGCACTGTAGTATTTAGTAGATTCTTAAATCTTGACTGAATTGAAATTAGCTAAGGAAGACATAAATGGAATTGGCTTTGATGCTCTTGTTTTGGTAATCATTACAGAAATAAATGCATGTATTGTAGGAACACAAATTGATTATAGAAGCAAGTGCTTTTAAACCATATTTTAATTAGTTCTCAATATATTTGTCAAACTGTTCACTGATGGTATTTGAGAGGGTATTTATAATTTGTGTGAGGAGCTCTGTAAAGTGCTAATTGTAAGTCACCACCAGCCTCACTCACCTTGAGCAGAAGAAACAAATCATTGACATGTCCTTCCTTTCCAGGTATGGCTTTTCCACCAAAAGCCTGAATCTCTCAATCCTCTGATCAAATATCTGAGTGCCACCACTGGCTTTGGAAGAAATTACATCACAACCCAGAAGGTAAATGTGCTTACCTTGTTGCACTGATGTTTGCTGCTGGGTTGATGAATTAAGCCCAGTGTTCCTGACCAGCTCCTCAGCCCCCATCTCCCCTTCTCTGGGTCCTCACTGTTCACTGGCATCACACTGGTCTGATTTTATTTCATCTTGCTCTCTCCTGCTTCTAAGCCTTCACACAACTTGTTCTCTCCACCTGAGCTGCTCTCAGCCTCTTCTTTCAACTGATTTCTGCTCATCCTTCAGATCAGCTTATCCCATAGCCTTTAGTGACCCCATAGACCAGTTGGTACCTCTGTGGTAGGCTTTCTTGAAATCCTGTACCTGTTCCAGATCATTTTTGTTCACCTTCGGGTTCCCCTGTCAGAATGTAAGCTCTGTGAGGAGGAGGATCATACCCCATTTCCTAGCAGGCTACCTTGCACATGATAGTCACTCAATCAATATGTTACAAGTTGGATGAAATATGAAGTGTCTTTCTGTGTGAAGTTAACTTCACTTTGAGTATTCAATTCTGCTTGTGACAATTATCAGCTTTAATAGATTGGTGTTTTGAAGAGGAACAGGATAATGTGCAGAAAAAAAAATCAGTACTGTGTTTTTTAGACTTGGTATAATCTTCTGAAATGAAATCAAGCATAGAGTTACATACTGGGGAATGAGAAAATTTATTTTAAACTAAGAGAGCTATTTTGTTGGTACTTTTGTCATGAGTGAGGTTTGTTTCAGCCTCTGATTTTCTCCTGCCCAGACTATTGTGAGGAGGCATTAGCATAAGATACAATGAGATTGAGGCAACTGTTAGCTCAGGTAAGTCAAGCAACTGGCATTGATTGTGGCCTCTTAGTAGCATGAGCTGAAAGGGGAGCCATGAACTTGTCTTCCTGTGCTATCTCTTCACTAAAAGTGAACCTTCTAGGTCTTTCAAAACATGTTCTGTGGGATATTAGTTTCTTGAGAAGATTTGCAAGAAGCAGTTCCTCTGGCAAGTAAAGTTGAATCATGCTTCGTATTACATTCCCCTCTTTCAGAGACTTGTACAGCATACATCAGCAAAGTAAGGGCAGTTCAGAAATGTGTGTGAAATATTTAATGCCGCTGTTTTCAAAGAGTTCTTTTTTAAAGCAAATTTTACATAACCTAACATCCCTTTGGGGAATTCTATTGCAAACTAATAAATAGCTTACTCTAGGCTTGCAGAGTGTGTTTGAACTTACTATCTATCAACTTGGAGAGAATGATTTGTTTATTAAGGGGAGACATGTTTAATTCTACAAACTGACACAGTCATTAGCCCCTTATGGAAATGCATTGAAGAAAGTTTTTTAACATTTGATTAATTTGGGGAAGTCAGCTTTCTCCTCTGTTAAAAGATGGGGTTGAACTAGAAGAGTTGTCTAATGCTTCTTCCGGTTCTATTATAGAAAAACTCTAACATGACTGAATGAATATAAATGTTATTTTCAAAAGGTTCAAAAGTTTGTTTAATTTTTAGCCTTTCAGTTTTATGAACAAAGAGCCTATTCTTGAAGTTTAGGCTCTGTGTTGACTTGTAAAAAGGATAGCACTATTTTAAAAGGGCTGAAGATTTGCCTTTACATACAATCGAGATTTTCTGCATGAAACACAAGAATGTAAAATAACTATAGATTAAACTAGAGAGAATCTTAAATTTCTTGCATGTGAAAGCATTTAGGAGAGAGGCAGTCTTGGGCTGCCATGGCAACTCCACAAATTGTCAGGTAACCAAATTTCTTGCAGTCACCGTTGGGCCATCTTTAGGGCGTGGCCCGCAGGCTTGCTGCTCAAGAGAGTGATATGAAAAAAGGGAAGAAGAAAGGACACTTTATTCCTTTCGAAGAGACTCCAGGCAATATTTACATCTCACTGGCCAGAACATAGTCTGATGGCTCCAGCACTCATTGTTTCAATGGAGGCTGAAGTATCATCTTTTATCTGGAGGGCAGTGAGCCCAGTTAAAACCAGGGCCCTTTACTAAGCCACATGGATATTAAGAAGTGAGTAGCTATTAGAAATTCACAAAACTCTTGATTTTCTGTTTTGTCCTTTGATTGGTATCTTCTGTTTCCTGGGTATCTGACAGTTAGGAAGACAGCAATCTTAGATCTTTCAGTCTTGCTGCTTAGGGGAAGCATCAGTGGGTTTGGTGAGTGTTGGAACTGAGACTGAGATTTAGTATGTCTTCAGGTGTAGCAGGAGCAGCCGCGAGAAACAGATCTCTCAAATGAGGAAGGAAGAAGTTTATTCGGCCTGGGAGCCTGAGCGATAATTGGTCCAAAGCTCAGCTCGTCTAACAAAGGAAGGCTCTGCCTTTATATAGGCTTATACTTTAGATACTACACGTAGAAGAATCTTAGGTTTACAGCGTTAGGAATCACATATGAAAGGGTTTCGGTTTACAGCTTCAGGAATCGCATGTGAAAAGCGTTTTGGTTTATGGTTTTAGGACTCACATGTGAAAAGGTTTCGGGTTTGATCTTGTTTTAAGTAAAAACAGTGTCTTCCGGAGAGTTTCCCCAATACCAAGCATGTTATTTACAGGAAGGAGATTCAGGAGGTACCAGCTGGCCTGCCCTCTCTTCTATTGAGATGCACAGTAGATGACAGAGCGGGAGGCAATCCCAGATGCCTGGGTCCCCTTCCAACTGTTATTACAAACATCCAACTGTCCTCTGAAGTTTCCTGGGCAAAGCTAGGCAGCCTGGTCTATTCCAGTTGGAGAGTGGTGCTTCCACATTCTGAGCCAGTAACTGCCACCCATGTCCAGCCGGAGTCTGCCCTCTCTCGAACCCCCAACTCCTGCTAGTCACTGAGCATGCTCAGTGCAGGTCAAGAAGGCGATTCTTTAAATACTCCCTTATACAGGAGAGCTCTGGCTGGCATCTGGTGAGTACCCCTCTGGGACATATCATCTCACCCCTTTGAGACCCTTACCACTTTATAATATCAGTGAGAGGTCTTACTCTCATTCTCACTTTCCAGATTCTCTGAAGAAACTGATAATGTTTCATATAATATACTTGAGATGTCATTTTTTGGCTAACTACAGTAGTGATGAATCCCCTAATCATCTGAAGGAACAGGGGGAGTAGACAAGGGAGCAACAAACAAACGCCTATCATTATTATAACACTTACGACGAGGGTCTTGAATCCTCCTAAGGATGAGAACCAACCTTCGAATAAGGACTCAGGGTTAAATCCGTGTCACAGCTGTACAGGCACGTATGCCAGTTCAATATCCTCCACTGCTTGCCCCGGTCATCTATGTGCAGACAGCAGTTGGTTAGATTGAATTTTCCACAGACGACTCCTTCAGCTGCCAGCAAATAGTCTAGGGCCAGCAGTTCTGATAAATTGCATTTCTCATTTGAGTTTCTTGGGCCAAGAGGGACAGAGCTTTGCCCGTTTTATTAGTATTTCCAAAACAGCCTGCAACCGGATAATCCGGTTGACCATGTAAATAGGGGTCCGGTATCCCTATGAGCCATCCTCTGCCCATGTGGCCGGCCCATCATACTCAATAATTCTCTCCAGTGGCCACTCGTCATCTGTCCAATCTCCTATTTTTAGGGGTCTTTTCTCCCTAGCAGAGTAGACTGAATGCCCTAACAGCTCACCTATCTTAACAGATAATAGGAAGAAAGAGGGCTTAATGATGCCAGTGACACAGCTACCTGCCCATCTCCCAGATTACACACCTTATACTGAGTACCATTATATAAACGGGTTCCCTTCTGTGTCCCTCTACATTTATAACAACTGTAGTACAAAAGAATGGCAGTAACTTTTACACCCCACCTGGTGTACATACTGAGGACATTCTTTAAAATTGGTTAATGTTCCTACTGTACAAGTCCAAATATTAAGAAGAACAAGACCCACGATGAATTTCCTCGTGCTTCGGCAGTGCGTGGACCAGCCAGCTTCCGGGATGTGGCTGGAGCAAGGCTTGTTGTCCTTTTTAAGGTGATTCTGCGGTCCTTGCCTTGGTCCAAGTCTCAGCTGTTGCTGGTTTTTACATGGCTGTGGTGGATTCAGGCTGGGATTCCCTCTACCTTCATAGCTGTGGGAGTGGTCAGGATCAGGTCTGAGGTCCTTTCCATTGTGGCTTTAGAGGGGCTGGACTCCCGTCCTTTATCCACACGTGATCACCTAGTGAGAAAGGGTGAACTGGGGAGAAAAAGTCTTACAGGACATTTGTTATTTATTCAGGTTGAAGTATCCTGAGCGATTCTCCCTAGAGTTGGTAACTAGCATCCTAACTCAATCTCTCCCAACTCCCAAGGAGTTAGTTCCCGGAGTGCCCGGAGTAGGGGAGGGGGCCTATGATATAAGGCTTCACAGGGGAATATCTTGTTTTTTTTAAAGGGGGTACATCTAATTTTGAATAACACCAAGGGAAGTGCCTGCACCCACTTTGATCCTGTTTCCTGATACACTTTCCCTAAACTATTTTTGATGGTCCGGTTCATTCTTTTCACTTTTCCCGAACTCTGAGGGCAATAGGCAGCATGCAGTTTCCAAAGTAATACCCCAAGGCCATCGCTGTCTTCTAGGCCAAGTTCACCACAAATGCTGGTCAGTTGTTAGGTCTGATGCGCAGTGGCAGTCCAGACCTAGGGATAAGGTCTCGAAGCAGCACACAGGTTACTTCATGGGCCTTTTTCTTTGTACTTGGAGAGTCAGAAAGGCATATCGCGAATCAATGTAAATGTTTGCAACCTTATCTTTACTCAACTTTGGGGCTCAAGTCAGAGCAATGAGTTCAGCCTTCTGAGCCAAGGTGCTTTGAGGCAGTGACTTGGCTTCTATTACACTGTCTAGAGTTGCCACTGCATAGCCTGCACACCTTTCTCCTTGTGGATTAATAAAACTGCCCCCATCCACATACAACTCCCAGTCTACTACTGTTCATAGCTGATCCCGAAGATCAGGCCTGCTGGAAGAGACTGAGCCCAAGACTTCAACACTGTTTTGTTTAACCGGGCCCTCTGTCGTTGGGAGCAAAGTGGCAGGGTTTAAGGTGTTGCAGACCTCAATGGTGATGCAGAGATTTTTATTTTAGCAGGCTCAAGTATTTGGCAGGCCTAGCATTTGTTAACCAAAGATGTCCTTTGGTATTCATTAGGGTTACTACTGTGTGGGGTGCTGTGATATTTAAATTCTTCCCAGAGTTGAGGCTAGTATCTTTGCCATTCCTCTTCTTCCTCCCCCCCCCCCACCCCCCCACACACAGCATGAAAAGGCTGTGTTAAGTCGGCTAGCCCCAAAGCCAGGGCTGACAGAAGTTTTGCTTTTACTTTCTGCCTCATTCAAAGGGTGTTTTGTCTTCTCCCCTCCCCACTTTGTCACTTTGTATGGGGGTTTGGCCAGTACTGTGAAGCTTGGAAATCCACAATCTACAGAAGCCCATGGCTCCCAGGAACTACCCTGCCTGCCCTCTAGTATTGGGTTCTGGCAGGTTGCAAATTACTTACTTCCTTTTTGTTCCTGCACTGCCTTCCGTTCCCCCTTCCGGATGTTAAACCCCAGATACTTCACTTGCTGTCGGCAAATCTGGGCTTTCTTTTTAGACACTTTATACCTACAGTCCTCCACGTGCCAAAGTAAGGCATTTGTTTGTGCACCCAACTGCCGTGGGTTGTCCCAATAGGTCGTCAGCATATGACGGCAGCATGCAAGCAAGAAGCTTTTAGGGGGGCAGTTACAGGCTAATGCCTCCCCGAGGATGTTGTGAGAGTTTCTGAGCCCCTGGGAAGCCGGGTTTAGGTGTACTGGGTGGTCACTCCTGCTTCTGGATTTCTCCCGTTGAAATGCAAATAGTTTTTGACTTTCAAAAGCCAGTCCGATGCTAAAGAAGTATTCTTTAAGTACAATTAAATGAACCAACTATCCTCTGCTGGCAGTAATCCCAACTGCATGCATAAGTTGGGTGCAAGTGAGTGCAAAGTCATGCAAGTCCTGCACTGGCCTGGGCAAAAATACCAGTCTTTGGTCCCTGGCTAGGAAGGTCTCCACCTTCCTTTCTGAGGGACAATGAGAGCCTGGATGACCCCTGCCTGAGGCAGTCTTAGCTGCAGGGTGTCTTTCTTATTATTAATCTGCACAACAAGTTTTGCGGGAGAAGGGGGGCAGGGGCGGTCCATTAAGTACAAGAAAGTCTGTTCTCTTAATAGCTCTAATAACACTAGTTTTGTTTCTTTGATGGGAGGTTAGAGGGCTGTTGTCCATGGGCTCTTTGGGGGCATATGAGTCCAGCCCCCCTCTCTTTTAGTCCAGTAGCCCTTCCATTAGTTTGAGCAGAGCCCCTTCACTTTTGTCTGAAGTGTTGTGCTCGGGGGTCTCTCTGTTTTCTAGTTAACTGGACATTTTTTCTTCCAGTGTCCTATTTCTTGACAAAATGCACACTGATCGCGTTGCAGGTGTGGGCAGGCAGACTGGGATGCTTTCCAGGAACCTCCCTTTTCCCACACTCTTGGGGGTTGCTCCTCTCATAGCAGCAGCTATCAAGTTGGCCTTCTGTTGAGCCTGACACTTGTTTTCCCTACGATTTTCTCTCTGGCTTACTGCTGCTCGGTTTACAAACACCTGGTTAGCTATTTCCAATAACTATGAAGTATTCATGCATGCAGATCCTGCCTGCTTCTATAATTTTCGTCTAATGTCTTCTGCACACAGACTGACTAATGTCATATTTATCATGCACTGGTTTTCGGGGTCCTCAGGATCAAAAGGAGTGTACATGTGGTAAGCTTCACACAGTCTTTCATAAAATTGGGTGGGACTTTCCTCTTTTCCGTGAAGAACCTCAGAGACTTCATTAATGTTTGTAACTTTCCGGGCGCCCCTTTTTAATCCTTCTAGCAAGGCTTCTCTGTACCAGATTAGCCTCTGCATGCCCTCTGGGGTGTTCAGATCCCACTGGGGTTCAGTTCCCGGTAACTGGACCCTGACATACTCTTGGGGATTCTAGTAATCTGCAGGAACATGCTGCTCCAGCCATTTAGAAGTGGCTTGGAGGACTCTCTGCCTTTCATCCATGTTAAAAAGATGCATAAGCAGCTGATGGCAATCAGCCCAAATGGGGTTATGAGTTTGAATAATAGTTTGCAGTAGGTCAATGAGAGCCTGTGGCTTCTGGGTATAAGACGGGTTGTTATTCTTCCGTTGATAAGATCAGCGGAGGTGAATGGCAGGTACGTGAAAACACGCCTTTCTACCATGTGGCTGTCCTCGTCCACTCCCGTGTACCTCTGCTCTCTCAAAGGCATCTGCACCCCCGCCTTGGGTCGCAGACGGGTTGCCAGAGGAGGACTTCCCTCCAGGAAGTGGGCAGCAGTGAGAGGAGTTTTTCTACACTCTTTTGTCTACTCTAGGTGGTTTAGGGGTATGCAGCTCTGGTGGGGATGCCAAGGCTTCTGGCTCAGGGGCAGGGAGTCCTTGAGGAGGAAAGGGCAAAAACTCTTCTGCCTCCGGATCTGACAGAACCTTGGGAGTCGCTGTTCCTGCCGCTGAATCTGCCTGTCCGTTAGGAGTTCATGTCTCTCCGCAGTGAAGGGGATGGTGGTTTCTAGCAGTCTGTCCCTTGGCCACTAAAACAGTTGCTGCCTGCTCTCTTAGCCACTTTGGAGGGTTCAAAACTAACTGCAGCCAGAGTCTATGTATGGAAATTGATCGAGTGTTCTAGCTCGCCGTGTGTAACTTGTGCCTTACTTTGGAGACTAGGGACCTTTCTAGGGTCCCATCTGGGGGCCAACCTACCCTAAATGCTGGCCAGTCTTCCCTACTTAAAGCCCTTAATTTCTCTGGTGTCATAGTTACTTTATAATTCCCACTAAATCCCTTCTTGAAATTTTTCAGCATGGTCTCTAAAGGGGTGGGCTTGCTATTGGAGTGACCCATATTAACACTCAAAAGAAACAATTCCCACAGTTAGGAGAGTGTTAGTTCACTCACAGCAGTTCCCGCCCAGCAAGATGCAGCATGGAGCACTCTCCGATTTACATTCACTTCAGTCCTTTCACAATGTCCAGAGGCTTCTCCACTCAGCCTTATGTGGCTGTCTCTAATTCTTACAAATTACTTGATGCATGAGGCCCCTCCTAATGGGCCCGATACTTTTCACAACTGATGAGTCCAGTTGGACACATCTACACACACAGACATACATACAATTGCTCTCCTTCCAGTTCGAAACCATAAGCAAAAAGCTTCCAAGGTTAGTTACAGAGAGAGTGAGAGCCATGTTCAAAAGTGCTGAATCTGGCACCTGTGGGTGATCAGACCACGCTTCCACTGAAAATGAGGTGGGCTATTTTCCTGGTTTCAGTCTTAACCATATTCAGTTATCTGGACATCCCAAATACCCGTTCCTTCTTGGTGTTCAGCCACTGGGTGGATCCACACTGCGGGGCCACCCTGCTCCCCTCCAGCAAGGCTTTTCCACCCGGCAAACACCTGCAAACACCTGCGCTCTCAGGATGCGTCACCCCAGCGAGCAGGAGTCCCCCTGCAGGGATGCTCCACAAAGCTAGTCAAACCGCCTGAGAAACTTTTTCCTGCCGTCTGCCAGCCGAAATTCGCTTCCCAGCCAACGTACCAAAAATGTAGCAGGAGCAGCCATGGGGAAACAGATCTCTTGAACACCAGATGAAGAAGGAAGAAGTTTATTCAGCCCTGGATCCTGAGTGATAATTTGTCCAAAGCTCAGCTCGTCTAACAAACGAAGATTCTGCCTTTATATAGGCTTATACTTTAGATATTACGCGTGGAAGAATCTCAGGTTTACAGCCTTAGGAATCACATATAAAAGGGTTTCGGTTTACAGCTTCAGGAATCACATATGAAAAGGGTTTTGGTTCATAGTTTCAGGAATCACATATAAAAGGGTTTTGGTTTATAGTTTTAGGACTCACATGTGAAAAGGTTTAGGGTTTGATCTTGTTTTAAGTAAAAACTGTCTTCCAGAGAGTTTCCCCAATACCAAGCCTGTTATTTACAGGAAGAAGATTCAAGAGGCGCCAGCTAGCCTGCCCTCTCTTCTATTGAGATGCACAGTGGATGACAGGGGAGGGAATCCCAGATGCCTGGATCTCCTTCCCCACAGGCTCTCAGCTTCCTGACAGCTCCCATGTGTCTGCCACCATGGCCCTTTCCTGCTCCCTCCTTTCTTTCTGTTTCATATAGTGAACGCCTTTCTTTTATACAAATACTATTCATCTTACTTTTCCTTTCTAGACATCTCTGTTTTTGCTTCTTTTCCAGATGGACCTGGATGAAGATACTGCTGAAAAATTTTATCAAAAGTTACTGGAACTGGAAAAGCATGTTAGGGTCACTATTCAAAAAACATAACCAGGACAGGTTCGGTGGCTCATGCCTGTAATCCCAGCACTTGGGGATGCCAAGGCAGAAGGATCACTTGAGACCAGGAGTTCAAGATCAGCTTGGGAAACATAATGAGACCCTGACTCTTCAAAAAGAAATTCAAAAATTAGCTGGGTGTGCTGGCATGTGCCTGTAGCTCCACCTACTCAGGAGGATGAGGTGGGAGGATCTCTTGAGGCTGGGAGGTGGAGTTTGCAGTAAGCTGAGATTGTGCCACTGCACTACAGTTTGGGTCATGGCAAGACCCTGTCTCAAAAAAATACGTGTATATAATCAGAACTGACAGCGACGCTCTCTGGAACATTGTGTACCTTCTGTACATTCTGGGGCACGTGGGTTTCTATCAAGTTGGATAATGTGCATTTGTAATAAATTATGAACTGTCTCTCTTCCTTTCTTTTGGAATTCTCTTTAAGACTGTGTATGTGCACATACTCCTATGCATATGAGAAAAAGATTGGGCCAGGTGCGGGGGCTCAAGCCTGTTATCCCAGCACTTTGGGAGGCCAAGGTGGGCAGATCACGAGGTCAGGAGTTTGAGACCAGCCTGGCCAATGTGGTAAAAACCCGTCTCTACTAAAAATGCATAACTTAGCCACATGTGGTGGTATGCACTTGTAATCTCAGCTACTTGGGAGGCTCAGACAAGAGAATCGCTTGAACCCAGGACACAGAGGTTGTAGTGAGCCAAGATCTGCCAGTGCACTCCAGCCTGGGTGACAGAGCAAGGCTCCATTTCCAAAAATATATATATATAAAGTAAAAATGTCAGTTAGTTATTCTCTGGAATAGTATTACATCAAAATTATTAGAGTTCTTTTCTGAAAAATTTTATGTAAAAATAAAAATTATTCCAGTCACCCAACAGAATATCTGTTTATATTATTCTGCCAACTGGGGCCCAAGCTGCGCTCCATGGGACAAGAGGTGGACTTGAATAATTGTGCCACAGGCACCCACTGCTCCTGTTTTTGGCTGGCCCCCAGCAGAAGGAAGTACTGCCCACTCTGAGTGGCAGTCGTAGCTTTGTTGCTTTATGAGCAACTTTTTTTTTTTTAGGTCTTTTGCCTTATTTCTTTCTCTATATGCTGCTTCTGACCATCTTAAGATTGTTAATGCTAACGGTCCTCATATGGGTACCCATGTGATTAATAATAAAAACCAAATCAATATGTGTTTTGGTTGCTTGAATTATTTCTTATTTAAAAATATATCTTTTACTGATACTGAAGTTGTTCATTCTAATATTGGGCCTGACCCTTAACACTATTTGCAAATTTGTTCATTAGTGACTAACCCATTTTCATGATGGTACCTTAATAGTTGTAAACTTCCAGGAAGAAATTATTCACTCAGGTTTCAATAAAATTTTCTAATTGGGTAACTGCTCGTGTAAGGTGCACTACAGTAGTAGAGGAAAGTGGTGAGGATTTAGTTGACATGTATCAGATAATTCTGTAAACTTTTCTTTTATAAATTTTAAAAGAACCACACCCAGGCCTCATTTGATATGAAGAAAAATGATAAAATTGTATGTTTTTACTATACATATAACCAATATAAAGCCTGAAATCTAAAGTCAGTAAAATTTTGAATGAGTTAACAAAAGTAAAAAGTGATGTATAATTTCCTCACAGTTTAAAGTATGAAGTTTTCGGTTACGATTTCTCTAATTTTGTTGTTAAAGGTTTTCTGTAAACATTCTATAAGTGAAAATGAGAACTGCACACCACTGTCTCCACTGCTTTTGAGAGAACGGTGAAGCTGACCCGAAATCAGAGCTGTTTTTCACGTTTCCATTCACTCACATTGTAAATTTGGAAGAAGCACATTATCTATTGCGAATCTCAGGTTCCTCATATGTAAAGTGGAGTGGTTATCTTTCTGCTGCATCTACTCACGGGTATGGAGAAAGGATTTAATGCAATAATATATGTGAATGAATAAAGAGCCTTTTTTGGTACATTATAATTTTATTAGAGATTGATAAGCCAGAATGTCATGGTTCAAACACTTGGGTGTAAGGCACTGAGTGCTCACTTTCTGTCTGATAGGGTTGGTTCAGCTTTCCAAGTTTGACCTGAGAGGCAGCATCTGATCAAGTGGAGGGCATGGTGGGAGTATGGGCTTTAGGGCTGGACAGACCTTGGATCTGATTTGGGTTTAGCCAGTTAACTAGCTATATGAAGTTTGAGACCTGCTGTATGATTTTCAGCAAGTTATTTCCATTTATGCCACAGTTTAATTATGTCAAATATCGATGCCAGTACCTACTTTGCAGAATTGTGATAATATCCTAGTAGGTGCACAGTCAGTGCAAATTGTTACTGAATTCTGTTCTACATTAAGTACCCTTGGAAGCTTTAAACATGAACCAAATCTTGATTTCGTGTCATTGATGATATGTTGCTAGGTTGGTGCTGTACATATTTTCTGAGCCATTTTATCCAATTTCCTCAAAATGAGGAAAACTGCCTTTCCACATTCCCAAGTGGTATACCTGTAGAGTTGATTCCTTTCATTAAATAATTGCAGATTTCACTATTTTTGTATCAGACTGGAATAATAGGTTAAAGATTCAACCACTAGGAAGTTGGACTTCAGGAGATGCCTGATTTCTGTCTTGATCTGGTGCATTTATTTTGATTTCCATGATGAGTTCAGTATAACTCATTTGTTCCACAGATGAGCACTGACCACATGTCAGGCACTGTTGAGTTTTGAGGATATAGAAGTTAACATGTGAATGATAGATTGAGATGTCTCAAAATGCTTCTAATAAACATTCTAGAAAGAGAATTGAGAACATGGGAAAGAGACAACATTAAAGAGATGAAAGCTGAGTTTTTTTTTTTTTTTTTTTTTTTTTAAATTAGAATCGATGGAAGCCATGATCATCAGATTCAGGAAAAATGGCAAGTTCCAAACAAGATAGACACAGATAAATAAAAACATATGCTTAGTGAAACTGCAGAGAACCAAAGAAATTAACTTGCAAAAACAGCTGGAGACAATAGATTACCAACAAAAATTACTGGGTGTGATGGCTAATGCCTGTAATCCCAGCACTTTGGGAGGCCAAGTTGGGAGGATTGATTGAGGCCAGGAGTTCGAGACCAGCTTGGGCAACATAGTGACACCCTGTCTGTACCAAAAATAAATCATTTCTTTTTAGCATTGTTGGATTTGTTTTGCTGATACTTTGTGGATAATTTATGTGTCTAAGTTCATGAAAGATATTGGCCTGTACTTTTTTTTTTTTGGTTTTGACTCGTTTGGTTATTTGGCAATAGTGACCTCATAAAATGAGTTGAAGTATTTTCTCTCTCATCTATATTCTGGAAGATTCTATATAAAATTGGTGTTAATTCTTCTTTAAATATTTGGTAGAATTCACCAGTCAAACCATGTGGGCCTGGAGATTTATTTTATGGATCATGCATGGAATTATTAATGATTATAAGGCTCTTCAGATTTTCTGTTTTATCTTGTGTTTTTGTCATTTGTGGGTTTTAAGGAATTGGTCAATTATTTCTAAGTTTTCAAATTTATTAGCTTAAAATTGTTTGTAGTATTATATTTTTAATGGCTACAAGATCTGTAATGATATTCTATTTCATTCTTAATGTTAGTATCTTCCCTTTTTCAATCTTTGTCAGTTTTGCTAGGAGTTTCTCAATTTTACTGGCATTTTCCCAAGAACCAGCTTTTTGTCTTGTAAATTTTCTCAATCGTTTTCCTATTACCAATTTCACTGATTTCAGCTCAGATCTTTTTTATTTCCTTCCTGCTTGCTCTGGATTTATTTTGCTCTTCTTCCTCCACTTTCTTGCTGTAAAACTTTATTATTAACTGGAAATTTTTCCACTTTTTTATCATAAGCATTTAGTGCCATAAATTTTCTTCTTGGCACTATTCTAGCTGAATGCCACATTTTTTGACACATTGTCTTTTTTTAAATTAAGTTCTATATATTTTTATTGACTTCTTTGAGACTTTACTCATGAATTATTTAGAAATGTTTAATGTAGATATTTTTAGAGATTTAAAAAACTTGTTATTGATTTCTGACTGTATTTTTGTTACTGATAGATAATTTTATTCTATTACAGTCAGAGAACACATTCTGTCTTATTTCTGTAGCGTTCAGTTTGTTGAGGTTTGGTTTATGGCCCAGGATATGGTCTGCTTTGGTGAATATCTCATGGGCTCTCCTCCACACTATGCCTTGCTGTTGTTTCTTCTTCGCAATTCTAAAGTAATTGATTTTTTGCATTTTGTCCACTATTATAGTTGTTCTTCAGCAACGAAGGTCTGTAGCTGGGGTACATTGCTATAATTAAAATCAAGACTTCTCTACACTGTTTAGTTCTGCCTTTATTTCTGTACGATTTTACTTTCTTCTGTTTCTTTCCTGAATATAGTGTTTATTTCTTCCTGTTCTTTGTCCATTTCTGTTTTTGAAATTTTTGATCCACAGTATTTTTTAATATCTCCAAATGCTTGTTTAAGGATATTTAATTCATCTTCATCGTGTTAGTATTCTCTTCTCTTTTGTAGTTGTTTTCTTGGGGTTGGAGGATGGTGGTTATTGTGGTTGTCAGTGCAAGCATTTTTTTTCCCCCTTCATTTTGTTTACTTCACTTCTCATCAAAGTCTTCTGGTCATCCAGTCTAAACTTTCATTATGCCCCTCATGTGTTCTCATATACCTTTTTTTCCCCCTTTTTGCTGCTTATTACTATCTAACATATGTATTTTGCTTATTTATTGCCTTTCAACCTACGAGAGTATAAGCTCCAAGATGATTGGGAGTTTTTAAAAAATTGTTTTGCCACTATTAAATCAATGCATGGCACATAGGAGACACTTGATTACTGCTTGTTCCATAAATATATGAACAGTTGATTAAACAAAGGTTTATTTGAATAACGGTATCATGCTCCTTGATATTTATAGCCTTAATCAACTTTTTTTTGTATAGCCACTTCAGAAAAAACTGTATCACAATTTTTGATAATAATTTGAAATGGTGTTTGCAGTAACAAGTCAGAGTTTATTGAGGTTCTGTCTGCTGTCACTGTCATATTAAAATATTGCCTTGGGCTGATACAATTTCTTTTCATGAAAAACAAAAAATACTAAGAATAACAAAAATGTTGAATGAGTCTTATTTCTACTATTGGAACGCCACCCAATAATCCATGTTTTTTGTCTGGCACCTGAAAATGTGAACACATTTCGTTATCTGACACGTCTCGTTTACTTATTATTTTTGATAACCATGACAATATACATAAAGGACTGTTGAAAATGGATAATCACTGGGTTAAAGAGAGCTCCATTGCTGTAGGTTATTCCTTACTGTCTCATTTGACTCCTGTTT